CCACAGACAGTATTGGAAAACAACACGCACAAAATGTACTACGACAGAGCCATAATCACAGATAAAACAATTTACCACAACAGACCAGACATCACACTCATTGACAAACACAATAAAATCACATACATTATAGACATATCTGTTCCAAACACTCACAATGTACAAAACACATGCACTGAAAAAATCAGCAAGTACACGGAACTTGCCCAGGAAATAAGGCATCTGTGGAGGATGGATAGGGGTGCTTATTGAACTTGTCGTTCTCTCCTGTACAGGTATCATACCACAAACGCTACACAAAAGCCTGGGAACACATACATCATACTACAAAAGGTCTCTATATTGAATAAATGCCATATTGTTAGGAAATTCCTGAATACAAACACACAATGACACAATGCTTATTTAATTTTTCTTTTTTTTTTGAAGTTACTATGCCTTGACTCTGGTCTGGCATAGTACACAGCCATCGGTGTCCACCTAGTGTAACTTACAAAACTCAACATAATTGAGTTTTGTGGTTTATGGCATTACGAAATTCTATTAATAGTATCATATACGTTATTGAGGGGAATAACATTTTGGTGTGCCGTGTTGAGTCATGTCGAGTCATAGGTGTGCCGCGAATAGAAAAAGGTTGCGGAACACTGGACTGGCCTAGAGAATGCCTCCCAAGAGGCCTGTGGAAAACTGGCTCGTATTTATGTGTTAGACACGTTGAGAAAATCCTGCACGTGGCCAGGCCGTCGATGAGGTGCGAACTTGCGACCTGTGTTCGGTAGTTTTATCTCCTTGGCTATTTGTGGGCTACTAGCAGTGCCGGCCCGAGGCGAATTTCAGGATGGAGCGAGATCCTATTATGGCGCCCCCTTGGCTGCCCCTAATTTATACCCTTTAATTTTCTTTACCACTGAGGCGCCCCCTAGGACTTAGCGCCTAGGACGGCTGCTCCGTTCGCCCAATCGTAGGGCCGGCTCTGGCTACTAGCTAAAAAATCATATTTTAATTAAACGTAATCGTTCAAAGTCTAATGAAACGATATGTTTGCTCTCCATAATTATGTACAGTACAACTGCTTCTTTTTAAAATGTGCGTTTATAGTTTCTACAAAAGTGTGACACTATCATATAAGTTACATAGCTATTCGATGTATAAAACTATTGACACGCTCTTTTTTAGTTATTAATTAACACAGTATCTGGTTAATTTTATATGATATAATTACATTATTATTAAAATTGTAATTATAGAAAATCCAGAATTAATCATACCGAAAAGAAACTATATACAGTATTCGTATTATGAATAGGTTATCGTCATTCCACGCCAATCGACTTAATGACGACGTTATGGCGAGCGTGAGTTATGACGACAATTTCCATCCTGACTAAATCCCTTAATCTGAAAGTCATCGAAAAAAGAATAAAGAAATCTGTTTAATATATTAATATAAATCATATCAATAAATACATAAAACATGTTCAACATTAAAATACTAAAAGAGTAATAAATCTATGAGATAATTCTCAGCTCTTTCCATCTGCTAATTTGCATACGTACTGAAATGTTGAAAGTATCACCTCGTAGATTATTTTGTAATTTTTATTTCCATTTGAAACAATTATACATCAGTTAAATAATTTACGACAACCACAGAAAGTTTCAAGAAGGTTCAGCCTATATTCTAATTGCAAATTTAAAAAGTTATATTTAATATTCAAATGAAAATTTTGATTTATTTCCAGTTATCAACTTAAGTAAATATTATTTTCTATCATAACTTTTTACTTGTATCAAATGTCACGACTTTCACTACAACCTATTTAAAGTTCTTATTTTCTTTTTCTCTGATAATTGATTTTCGTTAAAGCTTTAGTTTAATTTATCGATAATATCATCGACTGAAATTTTAGAGGTATATTTATGAGAGATCCTTTGATCAAAACTTGCAAAAAATCGATAGATATGATCATTAACTGCTTAATCGATAGGTATCTGTTAACGTGTGAATGGACATTTTGGCAGAAATTTGCTCTGAATGAAGCTGTTTGGCATTATCATAGCTATAGAACATGCCCACAGGAGTAAAAAAACCAAAGAAACAGACAGTCTACATGTGACCCTTTGCAAAATAAATACCCCCCCCCAAATCAGCCTAGCTGGAATTTTAAAGAGTCAAAAATAGAGTAAAATTTAACAGTGAAAAAAGCTGAAAGTATTTCTCAAAACAATGCTAAAATCAACTGTTTTTCACTTCACCTAGAGACGGCTAAAAAGCTCATAAAACATGAGAAACGCCACGGCAATGGCTACTTCCGGGATATATATATATACTACATACTACACCGCTATATCTCACGAAAGGTCACATATAGACCATCCGTTCCTTTGACTTTTTTTACTCCTGTGGGCATGGTCTACAACTCTGATAAGGTCCCAACCTCCTCATTCAGAGCTGCATTTTTACGGAAGTGTTTCACATCGGTAAGCATAGCTTTCCTGATATTACGATACGACAGTTTTAATTCTTTTTAAATTAGATTTTTAAAATACGTCGAAATTTTTAAAAGATTTCGACGTATTTAAATATTAACAAATAGACCCTACATAATGTAATATACCAATTCAGAGCTAAGCAATTTTAATTATGGAGATATCATGTTTGTTTTTTGTTAACATAAAAAAACATTTCTAAATTTTTAGACATTATTAAGCTATAAATCCAGTTATTGCATCAGTTTAAAATTGTAAAATTAAAATAAATAAAAGTTTAAAAATAAAGATATAAATATCTGTTAGAATTGATAACAATTTATTGTTTCTTTCATTTTTCTGTATCTTCAGGCCTAATCGGCACTAGGCGCGTGCCGAAAGTTTAAGTTACTATGCCTTGACTCTGGTCTGGCATAGTACACAGCCATCGGTGTCCACCTAGTGTAACTTACAAAACTCAACATAATTGAGTTTTGTGGTTTATGGCATTACGAAATTCTATTAATAGTATCATATACGTTATTGAGGGGAATAACATTTTGGTGTGCCGTGTTGAGTCATGTCGAGTCATAGGTGTGCCGCGAATAGAAAAAGGTTGCGGAACACTGGGATAGACGACATCGCGCCGATCTTCAGAACTTGCGGAATTCCGATCTCCGATGAACCTCGAATTAAATGAGCGCTTAAGTCGCGATTTTATATAATTTGTGCCGTATTTGTGGATTATTCCTTGAATCGATATTTTAAAGGCATCCACGTTCAGAATCNATGAATAAATTTGCTTCACAATTCATAGAATAAAACGTGTAATTTTTATTAATTTGTATAATTTAGACGAATTTTAAATCAAATCGCTTGCTTCCTATACTAATAAAATATATAACAATAAAGGTATTTAAATAGCAAAATTAAAATTAAACTGTCAAATCAATACTTTTTTTTAACAATTATGCAAAAGCCTATCTTAATAAATGTTAAAATAAAATTCTATAAAATAAAATACTATTCGGTAAATTGACAGAACGGTAATTACTTTTTTGTGGATAATTTGATGATTATAATGTTCTTTATAACCTCATTAGAACTTAATTATTTGATCTATACTACAAATGGCTGTGCAAACCAATCAATAAAGTTTGCGTGTTTTGAAACGTTTGTCTTTCACTCCATATCTATGGTATAACAGCACTTAAATATTCTGTAGACATAGGCAATCTTCTATGTTACAATCATATTAAATTTATAGGATACAACAACGTATTTAGTTATTTGCAATGATAAATTGATGCATAATTGATGTTATTTTCAACACCATTCGACAAAACTTAGGATAATTCGATTATAATAGCATAATTAAAAAATAAATATTCTACTAAATAGTTTATTTATTATCTAAATTGCATAAATATATACTGAAAAAACAACTGTACAGTTTTTCATATCAATGTTAATATAAATTTATATTTACATCATGCACCTAGAGCGCGCAGGAGAAAGGCCAACGGGATCCAGGCATCCAAGAAGCATGAAAAATAAATAAATAAAGCTGATGATAAAAAATACATAAATAAAATTATATAAAAATTAATGGAAAAAATTATTTATTTCTATGGAATTATATCATCGTGACAATGATTTAATGATGAAAACACTGGCGAATTAACACATCTGGAGGTGCTAAGTGCCAGTTAATTTCAGGACCTTTTAATAATTGTAAATGGAATTTACTATATAAAATTACTTCTGTTTGAGATCTTAATCTGGGGCACTAACAAAGCGCTCAGTTTAGGTGCAAGGGTATAGTTTGAATAAATATAAAATTAATTTAAAAACATAAATAATACCTATATTAAAACTGTAACTACAATAATTATAATTACTATATTATAGGAGCATTTACAAGAACTGATGGAAATTGGGGCAATTGGGGAGAGTGGAGTGAATGCAGCTCAACTTGTGGTTTAGGAATCCAAATTCGTCATAGAAGTTGTGACAATCCTAAACCTTCATTTTTTGGAAAAAGTTAATATTTTAAAACAATTATAAATAAATAAATTTTAATTTTAATAATTATTTTATCGCTCTATTTAAACGACAGATGGCGACATTTACTGGAAGAAAAAATAAATAAAATGTGCAAAATTTAAAAATGTTGATATACTTTTGTTCGTCTTTTTACAGGAATGTTTTAAAAATTATATTTTAATATTTTCCTGTTAATTATTTAAATATTTTTGATTAATAATAATAATTTATAAGCTTATAATTTTATTATACAGTATCATATAACTTTAGACGATTCGTTATTTAGAATGTAAAGGGAAAGCTAGAGAAACAGATGCTTGCGATACGAAAGTACGTTGCCCAATAGATGGCTTTTGGTCAAGTTGGTCTTCTTGGGACTGTTCAGTCACATGCGGAGGAGGAAATGGGAGAAGAGAAAGAAAATGCAATAATCCAGCACCCATGGATGGAGGAAAGAAATGTGAAGGGGCTGATCTTCAATTTGGAAACTGCAACACAAAAATTTGTCCCGATGAAATATATACACTACCTCCAGGTCTCACAATTTCATATTTAATATCTTCAGATAATTAATATAATAATTTTCTTTTAATTTCTAGACATAGAAAAACATGTGAAAGAAAAACTAAAATGTAAATGAATTTATATTATTAATTAGTTATTATAATTATTTGTTAATGAAGAAAAAATGACAGGAATTGTTTATATTTTTAAAGCGATGTACCGTAATACAGTGATAACTGCAGGGAAACCCGCTGTTCTTAATTGTGTGAATAACAATATAAAGAGTATCATGAACGTTTATCCGCGGGGAGTTTTAACATGGACGAAAGACGAATTACCATTAAGTTTGGATCGAGATAGAACAAAAGTTTATAAAGCGAAAATATGTAAGAAGATGTGATGTAGAAGCTTTTAAATTGGTTTTTAATTCATACTAAAATATGGTAATACGAGAAATTCGAGATACTGTACAGGGTGTTTCATAATGTAGAAAGCCAGTTCGAGAAGTTACTGTGTTGAAAATAGGGGAAGGATAATAGTAATGTTTATTGTAAAATATTCCTTTATCTCCAAGTTTCTTTTCAGTGGTAGGCCTATTAGCAGCTCATGTTTTTCTAGCAGCGGCAGTACTGGCATCGTGTCTGAGAAAATGATAAGATTTATTAGTTCACAGAATGCCTGTGTTAAAATTTTATGAGCATTAACTGACTTATTCGTCTCATAAAATTTGGCTTTGTATAATTGGCGTGGTTTCTACGTATTGTAAACCTGTCCAATCAGAAAAATGATTTACACATGGTATAGCCTAAATCGTACAGTGAAACCGATTGTATGTGTAAAGAAAAGTACAGTACTAGAAGAAAGAATAGTGATGAATGGTAGAACACATGCACAAACTGTTTTTACATAGTCCTAAAATATTAATCAGACTGGCTAGTAAGGGATTAGGAAATATCGGAGGATCGTTAGGAAAGGAGATGAGGAATATTCTTTAGCAGGAAGTCGAATTTTGTTGGATATATGTCTAATCACGGATGGAGGCCACATTGAAAACTTGTAAATACCGACAAAACTTGAAGCGTAACGCTTCAACTTTTATCGGTATACTTTACAATAAATTTCAAATCTGTATTCTTAATAGTATCTTACAATTACAATAAAGTGTCAAGCTTGTTTACTGTGTTATGAAACACAGTAAACAAGCTTGAAACTTTATATACATTTCTTAATAAAAGGAAGAACATATATCAATATAGAATTATATTAGATGTCCTTATATATTATATTTTTTTCCTCTTGGCGAATAGAATTAATAGAAGGAATAACATATATTAATATAGAATTATATTAGATATAATGTGTATTAAATATAATTCTATATTAATATATGTTCTTCCTTCTATTAAGAAATGTATACATTAAAACAATAGACTTGGATTTTTTAAGATTAATTTTTAGTGCAAGGACAAACACTTCCTCAGCTTCCAATTCTATATTTATTAAAACTTCGAAATAATTTAAATTTAAACACTTACAGTTAGCAATTGTAAAATTAGTAAGTTACCTGGTAAAGACATCTCAACTGCGGAGAACATTTGTTTTCTATATTAAAATAAATATTAGAATAAAAAAACTCTAAATATATTGTTTTTAAATCTCTCGCCAAGAGGAAAAAAATGTAAGAGAAAATATCTACATTGTTTTATAAACGAAATATTTTATTTTAGATATAGCGGCATTCTTATTTTCTCTTATAATTTGTACACTGGCATAGTCAAAGAGACTAAGGTACTATAGTCCACATAAAACGGAATAATAATAATAATTGTCATAAAAAAGCTGAATTTTCTTATTATTAATTATAATTTAAATGCAATACCAACACAAATTTATTTCTGTTTTCGTTTTTTTGAAGTTAATAACCTCAATGTTTTTGCTGTTTTGATGTGTGTTAATAAAATATAAGAGCATGTACATCTTCCAGAAACTAAGCGTAGCTAAAAGCCAAGCTTAGTAGAGGTTATATTTGTTAGTCTCCAAATTATTAGCACCAAATTTATTTTCTAGAAAAGCCACCAATTTTTGTATTGCCATATTAATATTTTTATCAAAAAATACAATTATAATATGTACTTGTATAAGTTGTTTCGTTTAAATGCTCCGATTATAATTTCATTTCTTTTCAGACTATTCATTTTATACATTTTCAGATTATTCATTTAATATTCATTTAAAAAAGACGGTAATTTTTACGGATAACTTTTTAAATTTTAAATGTTGATAAAAGTTTTTGTTTTTTGTTTTGTAAGTAGCAAAACTATACTCCATTATTTTTCCTTTCTTTTCTTGTTGGGATTGCCAACTATATTCCAATTCTTGGGAATTCCGCAATCCTTCATCAGCAGATATGTAGGAATGCTATCGGTAATTCAATGATCCAAAACTACGGTTTAATTATGTTTATTTTGGTTGATTACATGCATAACTAGATGCATTTAAAGCCGACTGCTTAGTTTAAAATATCGTTTTAAAATCCTCACTGTTGATTTTTGATTGTTAAGAAGTTTAATTTTCATGTTAAGTTAGAGATTTGGCACTTACGTAGAATACAAGAAGTAATTTTCATTGCTCTTAATCTTGTAATTCGTCCCTTTACTTTTATTCTTCAATATATTCAGATAATTCGCATTTAATATTCCCAATTTTAATCTCTTATAAGAAATCTAGAGATTTACACGTGTTACCTTAAAAATCAAATTAAAATCGTATTTTAAAAATTCATTAACTAATGTATTTTAAATCCGACTAGTTAATGGATTACAATATTTATAAATAATAAGATTAATTAGATAATATTTAAAATGTGAAATAATACTGAATTGTTTTTGTTAACGTAAATATTAAATTGATACTTTTACAATGAAATTTTTAAAACTACTTTCTTAATTAATATTTATGATATGAATCTACAGGTTAATCTTACTACTTTAAATTTAATATTAATTATAATATACTAATATAATTTTATTGTAATTTACCTTAATAAATAGCTATAAATCCAACCATTGATGAAGATTCGGGAGTGTATGTATGTCGCCTCTTATTTGCTCCTAATTCCTATAGAGTGATGGCTGTAAATGTTCTTACAGGTGAGGCATGTTAATATCCATTTGCATTGCAAATTCATATTATAATTATCCCATTAATATATAATTGTTATATTGCCTTTAACTATCTATTACATTATGAATATGATATATCTATATTAATAATATAATGTATAAAATTTATAATTAAAAGCTTCTCCAGTTTTTCATGTAGCTTATATTTTCTTTATGTAATTCTGACAAAAATTTGAAAATTAATTAGAAAATACTTTTTTTTTATTTTTGCCTGTAATGCATTTTTAAACTAAACTTCACAAAAGCTTTATTACATTTGCAGTTATCAACGGATCTCATTTTATTTCAATTAAAGAAGAAGATAAACTTTATTTGCCTTGTAATTATCTGTCTTTAGTGAAGATATATGGTAATTTGACACAGATTTGGCTTTTAAACGATTTAAAATTTTTTAGTAGAAACGTTAGCATTAAGGAAAATGATGTAAGTAACTAGTCACAATTTTTAAAATTATTGTAAATGAATATTAAATGTATTTTTTATTTATCCTGTGTAGAAACTAGTGCCTGTAGTAGAAAATGTCAAATTAAAACACGGTGGAAAATGGACGTGCCTGATTAAAACTAAAAAGATTTATCATGCATGGATTGTAAATATTATTGTAGTTAAGGGTATGATCTTTATATATATCAAGCATAGACAACCTAAAGTCCTAAAATTTTGTCTTGAGATTTTTAGGTTTTAGATACAAAATACAGTCGACCCCCGTATAACACTGTTGATAATTCCGTTTTATATGAACTCCATGTTGTACGAGTCACTTAGATTTTACAAATACGTGTGCCGGGCTGTGAACGGCTCACGTATTTGTAAAATCTAAGTGACTCGTACAACATGGAGTTCATATAAAACGGAATTATCAACTGTGTTATGGACCAATCATATAGTCTACAACTGTGTTGTAGACTATATGATTGGCAACTCGGTTTTGGTCTAATTTTCTAAATCTAGTATGTACAGTACTAGTTGGGTTGTAGTCTTTATACAATACCAAGTATTGTGCGATTGGACTTTATCATTATATATATATAACTTGTATAAAAGAAGTTTCGTACAATTATATCTTTATTATTATAAAAATTCACATCTAACATTTACTTATTATATTTACAATCTTATTTCTCTACAGGATATTTATATAGTCAACCAGAACAACTTTTATCAATTATTTATTTATATTAATGATCCAATATTATATTTCTGTAGTATTGATTACGCTTATGATGTATTGATTTTATTTTTTAATCAATCACTAAAACATTCTGCACAATCATATATTGTGCTAAAGATCAAAAAGATCATGCTATTTATGATAAATGCATATATTAATAAAAATTCAAATTTATTAGCAAGAAAGAAAAATATAATAAAAAAATAAATCTAGCTTTCATCATGATTATAGTTTGCATATAAAAATTTAAACAATAACTCATTAAAAAGTATATTTTATGAATAATGTAATAAAATTTAATAAGAGTAGAATGCACAAGGGATATTACGAGAAAATGCAAATGAACTTTTAAAAAGATAACAATGCCATTTTTATTTATCAAAGAATTAAATATCATGAAAGTAGCTCTACTGGATAAACTTAGTTATTGTACTTTATAATTAGTTTAGTCTATCGTTTTTTAATAATATTTTTTAGTCCCTTCTCCGAGGTCTTTAACATAAAGGCGATAATTGTCTATTAATTCCAACTAAGATACGCCTAAAAGAAAAGAGATTATATTAAACTAATCCTACTTAATCATATTTAATGCATTTTAAAATTATGTTAAACAATGTTTTATTTTAATGTCACCCGTCAACAATTAAAGAGTATTTATAGCATCCATTTTGCAAGTTGATTCTAAGAAGAAAGATCAATAGGGGTATGTTGACTTCTGTGATCAAGACTGAAGATTTATAATTATATTGCCATATTAATATTTTTATCAAAAAATACAATTATAATATGTACTTGTATAAGTTGTTTCGTTTAAATGCTCCGATTATAATTTCATTTCTTTTCAGACTATTCATTTTATACATTTTCAGATTATTCATTTAATATTCATTTAAAAAAGACGGTAATTTTTACGGATAACTTTTTAAATTTTAAATGTTGATAAAAGTTTTTGTTTTTTGTTTTGTAAGTAGCAAAACTATACTCCATTATTTTTCCTTTCTTTTCTTGTTGGGATTGCCAACTATATTCCAATTCTTGGGAATTCCGCAATCCTTCATCAGCAGATATGTAGGAATGCTATCGGTAATTCAATGATCCAAAACTACGGTTTAATTATGTTTATTTTGGTTGATTACATGCATAACTAGATGCATTTAAAGCCGACTGCTTAGTTTAAAATATCGTTTTAAAATCCTCACTGTTGATTTTTGATTGTTAAGAAGTTTAATTTTCATGTTAAGTTAGAGATTTGGCACTTACGTAGAATACAAGAAGTAATTTTCATTGCTCTTAATCTTGTAATTCGTCCCTTTACTTTTATTCTTCAATATATTCAGATAATTCGCATTTAATATTCCCAATTTTAATCTCTTATAAGAAATCTAGAGATTTACACGTGTTACCTTGAAAATCAAATTAAAATCGTATTTTAAAAATTCATTAACTAATGTATTTTAAATCCGACTAGTTAATGGATTACAATATTTATAAATAATAAGATTAATTAGATAATATTTAAAATGTGAAATAATACTGAATTGTTTTTGTTAACGTAAATATTAAATTGATACTTTTACAATGAAATTTTTAAAACTACTTTCTTAATTAATATTTATGATATGAATCTACAGGTTAATCTTACTACTTTAAATTTAATATTAATTATAATATACTAATATAATTTTATTGTAATTTACCTTAATAAATAGCTATAAATCCAACCATTGATGAAGATTCGGGAGTGTATGTATGTCGCCTCTTATTTGCTCCTAATTCCTATAGAGTGATGGCTGTAAATGTTCTTACAGGTGAGGCATGTTAATATCCATTTGCATTGCAAATTCATATTATAATTATCCCATTAATATATAATTGTTATATTGCCTTTAACTATCTATTACATTATGAATATGATATATCTATATTAATAATATAATGTATAAAATTTATAATTAAAAGCTTCTCCAGTTTTTCATGTAGCTTATATTTTCTTTATGTAATTCTGACAAAAATTTGAAAATTAATTAGAAAATACTTTTTTTTTATTTTTGCCTGTAATGCANATAAGCATTATCGTCTGCCAAATTATTATTTTAAATTCGAAACAACATTGCTAAAATATGTATATTATTACTAAAGCTAATAATTTAATTTATAATTTTTCATTCCGATAAGTAATAACGATAATCGGGTAGATAAATACATATATTTAATGCGGCGCATTTATCGCTTCTTGATGTCGTCATCGAACAAACACAGGCAGACGATGCATTGGAGACGAGACGTCTGCCTCGTTGAGTTCACCTTCAACACATTGAAAAAAACAATGTACGTAAATTCGTTTATATTTATCGGTAAAACATTGATTTATTTGTGATAAAACCTTCGTTAATACTCGAGTATAAACGGCAATATTGAAATTCGTAATTTTTCGCCTTCAATCATCCGAATCTTCGGCCATTTAGCCACTGTTAGCGCTGTTTTCCAGCCATCCTCTTGCAGACTCCACCAGGTAAGTATTTATTTTCATCTAAACTTAAACAATTTTTTTTCCACCAAAGAAAACACATTTATAGTCAATAAAACGTATACTTTTCTTGTGGCGGCATAATCACCTGCTAAGTGACGTCATCAGGTAAAAACACGAGTTACTGCAGTTTCTAGTGTAAAATCAATTATTCTGGTATAGAATAGAGTGCGGTAGTTATGTGAATTTTCACTTGGACAAAATAGTTACTATGACGACCGTAATGTTGTCGGAACGTCGTACAACTTTACTCCAGTGACCGAATGAAACTTTCCAATGATTCTTGATAATGCATTCATAATTGGATCAACAGTTTTACAGGCGTTTTTTGTGTTTTTCTCGAACAAATTGAAGGATAAAATTTGTTTTGTTAATAGACTACTGACCGCTTATACAATGATTTCTAGTTCGAGTCTTGCTGGAATCTCATATATCTTAAAAAATGTCACAATGAGATTGATGAATAAAGTAACTGAATGATTATATACTTATTAAGTTATATATTATGGCCAGTTTTTAAATCATCTATTGAAAACATGAGGTTTTATTGATGTTTTACGTGCTTTTGTCGATTAAATAAATGTTTTTTTTTCTTTTTTCATTTTATTCTAAAACTAAAATTGAAGTTTTGCTTGAATGTAAAAAGTTAGAATTGATTTATTCGATTGTTTCGAGTAACTTCGAATTGCTTTTATGCAGTGTTAAGTAGAATTGTCCGAACTGTTTTCAAATATATTGTTTAATGTGTTATATAATGTTTGACGTGTTAATTTTGTATCATTCGCCGCTATAGTAATTTGCTTTGAGATCATAAATTCCATGCAGTACAAACAAATTCGCAATTTAGACTCGAGACAACGGCATGAAATGCACGATACATCCCTTGACAGAAAAATGCTTTAGGAAAATTTCTTATTGAGTTAAGAATTTAATTAGAAAAGAATTTAATCTAACCTTTTGAGTGCAATAAGCTCCTTTCCATTCCACAGATAATTTACCAAACAATTAGGTGCTCCTATATACAGTATTTCAGATCCGCATATATCAAAATTTCATAGCGAAAAGGGAATAAAAAATAAAAACTTCTACATTTTAATATAATATAAAATATAAAAATGTAAAAAAAAATTAAATGTTGATTCAGCTTACGGTTTTATAACTCGAATACAATATTGTTTTTTTTTTTTGGCCTAATTTTATAAGTAAAGGTGGAGAAGAAGAAACTTTTAGGAAGAAAGTGTAGTAACACAATTGGAATATTGCCATTTGGAACTTATTTCACTGTAAAAAATTTTATAAAATAACAATTAATGAAAGATCAGTCAAATGTGATAAATGAAGTTATGAAGACTTGGTTATACCTGCGATGTAGCAGATGGTGGAGAGATAGATTCAGGTGTCATTGAGTTATTATTGGGCTTATATATCACTCTTATGCATGTTACACTGAACCCTCATAATGTTATAAGTTCTTGCATTTACTTATCGCTACGTATGGTACTTTATTAAAAAAAATCGATATTTTGATAGCGTGATTGGAATTTATCAATTGTATAGAAGCCTGTCCAAATCCAAATTTAAAAACTAATACATATTTATATCTTAGTTTTTTTGGCCGATTTCCAATTTTAATTTTAATGTTTTAAAAAAATTTTTTTATTGCCGATCATCGTACGTGTAACTGTACAATAGCGGTAATGGCTTTTTAAAAAGATTTTAAAAATTATATTATTCACTTCGAATTAACCTCTTTTGAAACTAAAAAAATTGTTTAAGTATTATTTTAATGCAAAAAGAAAAATGATCAAAAAGTTATTTGATTTCCTTTTATTTTGTTATGACCTAAATACATTAGTTAATCACGACTAACCTAATATAACATTGAATAAAAGTTCGATTATTTATTAGGAATGTAATGGTGAAGTTCATCAAATCTAATTAACCATCTTTATAATTATTAAAATTCTTTTATCTATTGTATTATCTTTGCGTTTCTTTTATCGATTTTATGTGGGTTTGGTCATTTATCTAGATCACAAGTTTAAATCTCTAGGTGTAGGTTAATTCTCGTTTTAAAAAAATTACTTCTGTTCACTGGCTAGCATAAGATAGGATTCAAAATATATTTTTTTCTTGGAAATCTTGGAAAAAGTTTTAGCATATTTAAATTCTGATAATTAACTAAAGAAAAATAAAAGCTGCAGAAAGCTTGCATTTTAAGTGCTCAAAGCATCGCCTCGCAAATACAAATTACCAGTAATATACCATTACGGCGCCAATATTTCTTAATGGAGCAACGCATTAAGAACAAATTTAAGCTTAGTTTGAAAAATTAAATCAGACACAAATTTAATATTTAGTTTTTAAGATCATTGAGTTTTCTGATGAATATATATATATATATAGAAAGCAAAACAAGCAGTTCAACGTCGATAATGTTTAAGATAAGGTCTAAGAGTCCATGGTAAGAATGCATTCAGAGTTTAAAGAGGTGATCGACTGTTTAGATTTTATTCACGTATAATCTAGCATTCGGGCAGTTTGCCAAACAGTATAATTTCCAGATAGAACCTAGTTTATAGAAAAATCTTGGTCTTATCCCGATATCAATGTATAAATCACATTAGGAGAGCAAATGCCAATAGAAGGAAACAGAATTTATTTAATGAAATACGGATAAATTTTAATTCAGTTTTCACAGTTTGAATCGACTGTATAGTTTGGGTCATTGACTTATAAAGGCATGTTGACACTTTGCCCAATTTGACGAGCAAATGAAAATAGTTTCATCTACTCTATTTTTTTTATTCAGGGAATCTTATGTTCCAATCAAATTATATGTGATCTCTAACGGAGGTCATTAATAAACAATTACAACATACAGCATGTATACTTTGTCTTTTATCGATCTCAACTCTGAGCAGCTGCTGCAATGCATCGCTTGAGTCGCCCAAGTGGCGACACACATCCAGCACTTCTACCATTTCAAACGAGCTAGTTTCTTAGTAATTACTGCTCTCGACTCGCTATTCTCCCACCGAAATCGATCAGCTATTAAAGACAAATAATCTGGGCTCAGCTGCGTTCGAAAATATTTAGAAAAAAATCTATCGTGAGACTAGATCTCTCTCTCTCCCTTTCTACGTCGCTAATCCGAGAATTGGTGATTTGGACGAAGACCCGTGTGCTTTTGAGAGGACGTAGAATCCTTCTCTAGAAAGGATCGATACAGTTCGTTCTACATTTTTATTTATTTTTTCCAGTTCTAAGCTTCATTTTTATTCAGGAGTCGTCCCCGATCGCCAGTGACATAAATCTATGCATTTAGCTGTCGCAGTTGTTCTTTTCCATTAATCATTGAAATAATAGTCAAGTATGTCGAGTGTATCTTTATATTTATTACCTTTCTAAGGATATATGGTAACGATTTTTAAGTCGTTAACATGTATCCTTAGAAAGATAATAAATATAAAGATGCACTATTCCTGTTCCTAATGTCTTTTCAAATTTTATTTTTTAATGTCTATCGTTTAGGCCTATAGTAAAACATACTTGTTTACTGAAACTTCAGTAAGTGCAGCCTTATATAATACCACGTAGTATCCATTCTAAGTAATAATACAAAACTGCTTCGAACATGGTTACCAAAATTTCCTTTAACAGATGATAGATGATATATAAATTTGCTGTTTATCTACTTCAGCTGAGCGAACAGTGAAGATTAATTCGTTATGTCATGGAAAATTTTATCTATCTAAATCTTAATATTTCTAACGTAAGTAAACTAACTTTGGAACAATTGTGTAGCCTACTGTTTTGTCACGCAAGAGGTGAGTTTACGAAACAACGTCTGGCGAATTTCCAGTGAGGTAGTCACTGCTTATTTATTTCTGGCATGCAGAACGTAGAGAAATGCTGCTGTACTACTACAAGCAATCAAACCTCAGTAGAAAGCACAAAGAGTTGCAGCGAGTACGAATGCCGAAAAAAGGATTTCAAAAAAATGATGTGGTGATATCGAACTGTCGTAACAATTACATAAAATGAGGTAACAGCAAGGAATTTGATAATAATAGTTAGGTGGGTAAAGTGATTTTTGCTGTTATTTTTATAACTTAGAATCGTTTGTTTAGTATATGAATTTTTATTGTACGTTACATTTTTTGTATGTTCGAAACGCACTTTTTATGGATGGGATGGGATTACAGAAATAGGTCTAGGTTGATGTTGATGGAATGATTTTTTACTCACCAGGAATAACTAGGAGATAACTACAAAGAGGACTGTAACCATTATATATATATATATCCTATAATATTTGTACAGGATTCGACTGTATTTTAAAAGTTGTTTTTGTTAATTTTTATTTTATTGTCGTTTAGATACACTAATTCTGAAAACAAAGTATTTATTTTTATCTGAGTCAAACGAAAAAAGGTGTTTAAAAGAGAGTCTGTTTGATCGTACGCTTGTCTGGATTAAGAGAGAGAGTTTATCAAATAATTGTTTCAAACTGTTCCATTTGAGATGAAATGGTAATGTTAAGTTTTGATTGTTAATATATAAAACGTGTTTGAAATGAAATAGAAAACTGATTTTGATATTTTTGCTGATTTTTCTAAAAACAGTTTATTTGAAGCATCTAAAAACCAGTTAATTATTTCATTCGTATTTGAATATTACTCATTTTTAATTTAGTATATAAATGTTTCATTGAGTAAGTTTTCTCTGTTATTTTTGATTTGGTTTTGATAGATATTCTAAGAATAAATAAATAAGTAATAAGGGTTGAGATAGAAGTATTATATTCGCTTACTTCGATTTTAAAACTACATTGGAATATCATATTATTAATTTTAAACTGCAAAATTTTTCTAAAAATTGTTATAATATATATAAGAATCATTGAAATTTCTGTCAATACAGTTTTTTAAAGACGTTAAATTTTTTCTAAGATTCGAAAATATCAAAGATTTAAAGTAGTTTCATTCATCGATAAAATTGGTCGAATTTTACTGCTGTCTCGATTTGCCATCCTTTTATAGATCTGTGTAACTTGCCAAATCGATGCTAAATAACTACTAGAGTTATCCTTTTCCGATGCAGATTTAACATAGAAAAGTAAATTCTACGATTAGTAAGAATCAGACTGTAGTAAGTTTCCGATTGATTGTAATTATTGATATTATAGATTACAAAGGATTGCGTCCTTGAATCAAACATTAAAAATATCTGAATGGATTGCAGTTATGCTCTAGCAACTAATTGCCTCTGTAATGATCGTCAGGAAATAGTATTGTGGGCGTGTCTGTAGGTGTACAGCAACTACACTATATTAAGATCATCTCAAAGCTGTATATAAATTGGAGATTTCGTAGAAAGAATCTGATAGACATTATCGTTGCTTCAAAATAGCATCGAGCAATTCGAGTAGTTGGGCCTAGTCGATGTTTAATTCTTTAGACGATTAGCAATAAGCCTAATATTTATCTAGTTTGGCCTAAAGTTAATCGTGCGTAAACTCAGTCTACTGAGTATGTGTCGTTATCACGCGATAAACTAATTTTATTTTAGATACTAAACCGGAACAATAGAAAAATAATCGTGCCATAACGCAACATTATCAGTACGTGATCAGTTAGTGAAAACGTTAACGCAATTATCTAGCGCCCGGGATAATTAAATGTAAAAAAAAGTGACAGGGATAAAAAAAAACCCTGGTAGAGATCGATCAGAAAAAGAAAAGTTCCTTCTCGGTGTTAGTATAAGTCGGACGCATGACTGACGACCTCATGGGATTGAGAAAAGCTCAACAATAACCGCAGTACGACAAGACTAGCATGAATGTCGCTTCTATATATAGTTTGAGATCAAAATCGAATTTTCTTAGCAGCGGAACAAGGGAATTGCGTCTTATTAAGTCTAATGGAGCGAATAATCGAGACATGTTTGTATTTCGATCAATCTTGTAAACCTTGTCCGGATAAAAGGTTAATTATCCATTAGACAAAAGAATAATCGACGATATACAGGGTGAATAATCATCAATTATCACTTAGACACCGTTTACTGCCGAAATACGATACTATAACGGGTTAGGCGCTTCATAACGCTGCTTGCAACGTTAATTAAACAGATTCATCCCTTACGTTAGTTACGTTATGATATTGAAGTTTCCCGTGTGAGGAAGAAATAAATCAATCTGTAGCATTTCCTGAAATATTATGTCAATAAGAACAAATTTATTGTTCAAAATTAACCGGAAACATTTATAGGTTTATAAAATTTGTGATAATTTACAAACAAGTGAGTTAATTAGTATTGTTTCTGTACGCCTAGTTGAGATTTCTTTGAAAGTATCGAGTGGAGTACGATATAAATAGCGACAAGGTTAGTTGTCTGGCCAAGTAGCTGAGATTTTCTATAAGGCTTATAAATGAAAAATAAGAAATTTGTTTGAAATTTATCATAAAAATGGCATTTATTACTATACTTAGAATCATACAATAAGTTCAAACAGTTTAGAAAATGATTAAAGATCGTTACGAGTAAAAGGTAAAATATTATGATATAAATAATATAACAACTAAATAGATTCCATAGCCATAGTATATTAATTTTAAATTATATATATTTGTGTAATCTTCACCTTCATAAATTATTTCAAGTTTAATGAGTACTGTTATATATCTATATCAATTTTTAACGCATTTAAGAAATCAGATCTGTTAGTGAAATATTTTTTCAATGTGCTTCTTTCTGTACAAAAGAGCTTTAAAATAAATTAAAGAAACAAAATGAATACCATCGAGATAATAGTTTTTTCCTTTCTCGGTCACTCGAGCAGTATCTGTATGTCAATAAATTGACAATAGGAGATCTCTTGTGCGCCAATCGCAACCACGGTCAATTCATTGATCCGTACTACCGTGATAAACAGTGTCTACCTAAGTACGAGCTGTCAGTTTTCTGAAGCAGCTTTATAGATTTGTTTATCGGCAATTAAAATGTAAGTCTTGTTTAAAAAATTAATACGCTATTAAATCATTATCGTAGCCAAAGGAAGAATTATAAGAGCGGTAATTAATTCCTGAAGTTTTAACTTTAAACTAGGAAAAAAATTTTAATTAACAACGCTAACAATACATTAAATTTTTTAATGTGCAGTTTTAACCGTTTTATTTGAAAAAAAAGTAAACTTAAGTTACTAATAATTTTAATTAATTTAATGCATTCATTTATAAACAAAGCACATATAAATTCAAAGAGGCATTCAATATTAGCCTACTCCGAATACATTTTCAGTTATGCCACTGTATTAAACAGTAACTTTTACTTGTTATCGCTAACAAATGTTATAATTGTTATACATCAGCGATGAAAGCGGTATATACATATATTTTTCTATATATAGAAAATATTTACGGTGTAGTTTTTTGTAAAATTGGGTAATCATTCAGACTCGTACGCTTGTAGATGTATTTGAATAAACTGAATTTATTTTCGTTTTATATAACTCTGAGCACTTTATCGATTTATATAACAATGCCCGATACAATCGCGTCAAGAACTCCTTTATCGATAAAAACTACGATAGTACTTTTCCTCGAAAACTGTCCTATCAAAATATAAATTTCATTCCACTACATCTGCTATTCATAATAATTGATGTCATTTGTTAACGAATTCAATTCAATTTTCAGATGTATACATCATTCATCCGATGAGAATACTTTGACTTTTTCAGCTGTTTAGACTCTTTTTTTCAATTCTCTTCGTTATAAGCTATCATTATCAGCGTATAACTAATAGGAAGTTGGCGGGCTCATCACCAATCACATACATAGATTAGTTAATCGATCTGACAGAACAAATGTTTTTCTATATCTAGGAGATGTAGTCTTATAACTAATTTATTCGTACATACAGATATTTTCATATTTAAAGTATTATGGAGGAATGAGTTACAAAAACAATAAGCAAATCATATGAGAAATCTACAGGCTGCAGCGTCCTCCATTGATCTTTGATGTCCCCAAGACAAAAATAGACTCTTGTATTCCTTTGACCTACTTTCATTGTTCGTTTTTTTTTTCATATTAGCTTAAAGAAATGCCTTTGATTAAGGATGTATCCTATACCGTTAAACGTGGAAAATATGCATTGATTTAATAAGATATTGTAAACCATTTGTCTACACAATTCTCCTCTCCGAGATCAAATATCTTAAACCGATTATGACGTACAAACGGACCAAAACAAATCATTTAATTCAATTTCGTCTGAATAGTTTAATATTAAACTAATAATATTCTGATTTAAATATATATATTTAAATTTCAAAAAATTTCGAGTTTGCATTGTCGATTCATTTAATTAAATAAACAAGTATTTTTTTTTTTGTGATCTAATTTTAAATTTTTGGCATTTCCGGTGTACTCTAAAATATTACTTAAAGTACTCAGAATGGTATTCAAGTATCGGATTTACGAGATATTAATTCGTATCAATTGGTGATTCCGTGCCAAGTTTATATCAAATCGGATGAATGACATAACACTTCTCCGAGGCCACAGACATGTAGATAGATGACCTCATAACAATTTTTCTTTTCCGGAAAGCGAAGAGAAAAACATTGTTTCCTATATTTGACAGAGCAATAGAAAGTAAAAATTTCGATTAAACGGGATCCAAACTTAGATCATAATTCACTTAATGCTTAAGTTTTTACCTTATCTCTAACTATGTGAATAACTCATTTAAAATATTTAAAAAGTTTTAAGAGAAATATAACAGAATTTTTAAGAGTTATAACGAATATTAAAAATTACAACAAGATACAAAAAAATAAAAAATAATAATAAAATTTAATTTATGTATTAATACAGCATTCATTTTCGTTATAGCTTTAGATGAGAAATACTGTTCTCTCTTAATCCATCGCATATTGCACTTTAGTATTATCATGCAAATTAGAAAAAGTCTCTTTCGATTAAAGCAAAAATTCGTTTAAATTGATTTTTTTTTCCTTAAAATATATTATCTCTCTCTCTCTTTTATTTTTAAAGTTCGATTATAACTGATGTTATTGTTAAAAACGTAAATGGAAGAATTTTAAAAAGTTAATATCAGTTATGTCTGTAATCGAATTTTTCTTATATTATGATTATGATTATCTATATATTAATATTATGCTAAATATTCGCTGGGGTAATATATAAGTTTAAGAATTATTTGGATAGGTTTAAGGATAGATTATAACAACTCGATATGAGATAATTTTTTTAAACATATAAATTATAACAAATGAAAAATGGAATGTGCTTACACAACAAGGAAGATGTTTGTGTCTACATGTTTTATAATAAATGTCGTTATTGTTTAAGTTTTTGCAAAAATAATTAATATGATAACGTTTTAAATTTATTTTTAAGTTTCTTCCTTTTCTAACACATTCATTACTTTAACTTTTAATAAAATTTCTGCCTTGTTTCCAATAGTTATACGGGAATATTATGCAGACAATTTCATTATAATAAATTATCTATAAATTTTTGAATATTAAATAATAAAGAGTACAAAAGTAGGTCACTGTTCTACGAAAAAAAAATAAAAGAAAGGAAGCATACAGCTAGAAAAAGTAATAGCTAATGCCTCATTTAGTTTCCGAAATGCTTGTTCTGATTTAAGATATAAAGAGATTTTGATTTCAATCACATACATACAACTGAGCTGAGCTTCAAACTTAACTTTCCGACAATGTTTCACGGCGTTAAATATATGGAATTCAATTAACAATTGATTATAATTTTTATTTTATAAAGATTTTTATACAATAAAGAGACTGAATAACTAACAATGTATTGAAGTTTTGATTTATTATAATTTCTTTTAAGAATCTATTTCGTAGAAAACAGAATATAAACTTATTACATAAATACACATTAATAATTTATAAAACATAATAATTGTTTTTATGAAATAATAAATCATAATGCATATATGTATATATAAAATGCAAGTATTCATATATACTGTATATGGAATGTATGAACAGTATATAATATAAATATTTGCATTTTATATATGCTGAATGATCATAAAAATCAAACATTTGTAAATTGAAGTTTGTATTTATAGGTTATGATTTATGCATCCTTTTTATATCTGATTACATCAAATTTAATCAGGATAAAATTTCGAAACAGTATCTTATGTAAGATTTCGATCGATATTATCTATTTTTAGTTACTTCCTAAAACTGTACTGTTCAGTATGGAGAATTTACCTAACATCTGTTTCTCTTTATATAACATTCTCTTTCCGAGAAATGAACATTTTAACATCCTATATTAATGCTGCCAATATTTTAAAATTCATATTAAATGATTATTTGTAGATTTGCTTTGAAACAATTCGTCCTTATCTATATTTATTGGGGTGGAGCTCAGTTTTATTGCATAAAATCAGGCGAAGATACGGTGTCTATTAAAGATTGTAGAGATATTTATTTGATAAATTTTGTTCTTAATTTGTCTACGATAATGCCATAAAGATCATTTTAGATAAATTATATTTATCTAATGATTATTTTTAAAATATCGAAAATATTTTACGGGTTTTAGTCAATTGAACTTTGGATCTTGAATGATTTTAATATTTTATCAGGGGAATTATTAAGCGCCTTTTTCCCTCATAACTCACTTCAAAACTTTGTAAATAACATTATAGCCAAATAAAATTTTTCAATGCTCTTTTTTAGTACAAGTACTAAAATCACTTTGATAACAAACCATTCTGTCTGGGATATATTTAGCTACGAATCGGTGTTTCTCCGTGTTTAAAGTTTATATAACAAGTGAAAAATTATACGTTAGATATTCATTAAGATTTCTTTTTTTTTTTTTAATAAAATAACTAAAGATTTTTTAACGAAAATAATCGCATTGTGCTATAGAAAGACTTCTCTTAGATTGACGATGTCGGAAGGAAAACCATTTAAGTTGGGTTTTCTTTTAGAATTTGACATATCATCCGACAAGTTCTGTTTACTTCCATTTGTCCGGAATAGAATTCGGAAGCCATAGAAAAAGATAAAGTCTGAGTCTTGTTGCCCCAAAAATGTGGAGTGCTATTATTTATGTTTTTCTGTTTCATTTCTTAAGCTATCGTACTTTAAAAGGAAAATTACATGATAAAAATAAACGTTTTTGTACGGAAATAAAAAAAAAATTAAATGGAATATTTCTGTGATTAAAATGTTTTTACTATCAAAATAATGGCGATTTAAAAGTTAGTTCATAATAAATACGGCAATGTTTAAGATTGTCAGTCGTTTTAATTATACAACCATTTTTATGAATAATGGCTGTTTTTTTTTAATATAGTTAAATAATGTATTTACTTTTTCGTGTTTTCTAAATAATTTTTTAGATACACGTTAGATTTTCATTTTCTTCTTTAATCGTTTTCAATCTCTTTACATTGATGGCCGGATGGCCGAGGCGTTTAAGGCGTCGTCTTATTTCTATGGAGAATTCAGGATCGAAGGCGGTTAGGGCGTCAGTCTATCTCCTTGGAGGATCCAGGATCGAATCCGGGCGATCGACTGCAGGATTCTTTTCATAGAAAGTCTGGCCCGGATATTTCGGGCTCCATTTCTCCTCCAGTCGATCAGATCGAACACGTGATGGATACAGAAAAAAGGCCCTATTAGTGCCCACAGGGCGGAAAGACCCAAAATAAAAATGAAAAAAGTCGTTAAATTTTTATTTTATCGATGTTTTTACAGGTTCTGATAATTTATCTCTTTCATTATGTAAAAAAAAAATCATCATCGAATCAATAACGTATCCTGTTATAATTCCTACAACTTCTTTGGTTATCTTTTATTAATTCTTTCTTTTGCACTAAAGAAATCTGTCAATAACGGTTGGTATCTTTTGATAAAGACTAAAAGACTTATCATTTTTTAATTTTACAATCAAAGTTTTGTGTAGAAAATTAGTTTAGATACATTTAAATTATAACAATAATCACTAACAGAAATAAAAGCAAAGGGTTTTCTTCTTTTGGCTGTTTACGATATGCAGTGTATTATGTTATTTTTACGATTCATAAAACTGTAATACAAATAAATAAATTATATTCATTCAGAATATATTATAAGTGTTACATTTTCTGTAACTATATAACAAATATTTTTTGTTGTCTTCTTTAATTATTTATTAATTGTTATAAAAGAGAGTTTGCAGTTTGTTTGTTTCCTTTATTACTATTTTATATTGATTCGAATACTCCATTTTAATTTTCTTTTTTTTTCTGAATTATCAAATTCTATTTTTTCTTTAATTTCCAGCTTTATTTTTTGTTTATTGAATATTATTACTAATTTTTCATTTCTTGTTTCTAAACATTCTCTCTTATCTTCAATTAATTACGATTTACCACTTTTATATCGAAAAATATATCTAATATACTTACCTATCTTTTAATATTATTTTTTATGATTACATATTTAATATTTTTTCGTATCTTCTACTTTATATAATTTAAAAAAAAATTAATTTTATATATGAATATATTGTAGGCAAATGTAATTAGAATATATGCATATTATTTTCTAGTTAATAATCTACATTATACAGATTAAAAAGCAGCTGGATCACAGCATTTAAGCAAAAGTGCATACTAAATTTTTAATAAAAGCATACTTCATTTTGTAAATTATTTCGAATCGTTATCAAGTTTTTTTTTTTTTTTTCATTATACCGCATTTATTTTCTTTGAAGATCTTAGGAATCACACATTATCTTCAATATTCTCTCGTTTATTGTAATTGTTCCTATTATAAGATTATAGCCTACCTGTAACCTGCTTATATTTTCCGTATACTCAGCTAGAAAAACTAGCGAAAGAGGTGTTAATAGTGAATTTAATGATATTAATTGTACTGTACAGCGTATAAATTCTTCCCGGTTTTCATTAGAAATTTTAAAAATTCGATTTTCCCCCACTCATAAATTACTAAGCGAAACGATCGAGAATTAACGATCTTACTCGAAACGTCAATATAAATAGGAAAGCAGTTTACAGGAAATTTTCTTGTGCGTGTTGCAATTTTTAAGCTAGATAGGAAAATATTAAAGAAACGGCTGTAATTCAATTCGACCGGCATGATATTCCTTACTCCCCTTTAGTTCAATGGTGCACTCCGAAGAGAGATTGTCGTCAATCGTTGTCATGGCAACATAGAAAACCGCATCGAAGAGACTCCTAAATAGTGGTACTGCTACTGCAGGTTTGTAAGTTAGATATTTAAGTCGAAAGGTTTTTCCTCGGTTTCTTTTCTTCTGTGAGTAAATTGTTCGTACCCTTTACAGCATTGAAGTGTCGCTGTTGGATTCAAACGTCGCCCCTTCATTCATGGATTTCTCATTTTCAAGATTCCTCCGCATTTCCAGATTATGACATCAACTAAAGGATGGTGTAGGTCATTGATCTGTTTTTTTTTTTTTTAAATCCAATTTGAAAAAATAATATCCTAACTCTTACATCTCTCATTGCTGGTAGTTGATAATGAACGTGTCTGAATAGTTTTCTGTAATGAGTAATGCATGCAGGTAGAGAAGATAACATCAGTGGAATTTTTGGAAATTCACGTAGAACGTATGAGTAACTAATTACATTTTCCTACGTGAACACTTTATAAATAAATAAAACGTATAAATTATTTTTATTATTTAAAAAATCATCAGTTTCTTATATGCATGATTAAAAATGGGTGCGTTTTAATATCAAAATTGAATTTATAACAGCCATCAAAATTGAATTTTATACCAAGTAATTAAATATAATAGCGTATTAAACAAATTAAGTTCAAACTGTATAACGTTTAACAATTTTTTAAGACTTTAATAAAGGAAATATGTTTATTTTTATTTTTTTAAAGAAATAAATATGAATAGTATTTGTAAGCCAGATTGATATAAAAATTCAGCAGGATTGAATAAGTTATATTATCTTATTTTAGGATGTGCAGAATGTGGAGGTTCGTTTTATTGCTGGGATCAGTGCTAACAGTTGGCGTGAACTTGGCTGAAGCAGAAAAAGAGTAAGTAATACCTGGAATTTTAATAAATGTAATTTAATAAAACGAAATCAGTTCAATTTGTTAATATTATAAACTTTTTACTCCTTTTAAATAAAAACAAATACACTTTCTAAGAAAAACTTCAAGTATTTATAATTTGATTATTATATAGTATAAAAATACAAAATAAATATTAAAATAATGCACATAATATCAAAAAATATTCATATTAATTTATATAATATTAATGTTTATGTATAAAATAAAACATCTAGTTACTTTAATTTTAAGAATTCTGTTAATGATTTCTTATCAACCATTTAATAAAATTATTAAATCATACAGTTTAAAAAAAATAAAGAGAAATTTTAATTTAGAAATTTATTAAATTAAATTCAAATTGCATTAGATTTTGTATTCTTGTGTAGTGTAGGAATTAGCTTAATTTAGTTATTTTCAAAATTATATATATGTGTACAGTTCATAAACTATAGAGATCTGTAGTTATATATAGTTGTATATGTATAAATATATATTTTTAGTTATAATATAATGTGTAATTTATATATATCTATATAAACTACAGATTATATAATATCTACAGATAACTGCATAAATATATGTATATTTATATAACTATAATAGAATATGACATATTTAGTTTTTACATATTTTTATAATTATAAAATGAATTTTTAATTAAAATTTTAATAATAGTATTAATATACTAGTTTTTTGTAGTTCTAATAAATAACCTTGTAGTTATCAGAGTAACTATTATAGAATAGAAATGGATAGATATTTTCATGATATTAAGAATAAAATTGATAGAATAATCAGCAAGGAGGTGCAAGAACAGAATAAAATTCTGAATTTAAATAAATAAGTACTCTTAGTTATGGCTCACTATCTGGTGTTGTCAGGAACAAGTATGAACAATCTTCTGTATTTGGAGTTTGGGCCCCCAGATGTTGCACAGGACCACAACCACCAAGGTAAGTTTGCCTGCCTCCTGCTCGAGAAAGAAGGCATTAAGAGCCAAAGTAGCTGCACTTATACAATGAAAATTATATTTTTATTTAACCAATAACTTAATGGTTCCTCAAACAATCAATGAAAATGAAATATGAAATAAAACTTACATAATTGATAGTTCTAACAATTATAACTAAACAGATTACTCTAAGAATTTATGTAATTGAGTACAGAATTTTATTCTGTAGCAAATTTATGCTAAACGAGGAATTTTATCCAAAACATAAATTCTGTTATGTTTTTAGAATAGACTTCTTCTTAGAACATTTACTAATATTCTAATCTGTTAATCTGTTTTAATTAAATTATTTTTTTAAATAATAACGTGAAAAGATATAAGTAGAATTATGTTGTATTATATTTTATTAATTATAGAGTAGTTTTAGTAATTATATAAACATTTAAATATACATTTATGACTAATTATAACTGAATAATATATTTTCGATGGGAATAATTAAAAAAGACAGTCTTTTATATAAATGAGAATTGTTTCGGGAACCAAATCGCTTGTTTTATTTAATTAACCATTCCTTTTTGCATTGTGTTGAACCCATTTATGCGTTAATAGTTTGTTTTTTACTAATCAAATTCTAGCTTTTTTTAATATATTTTTTTATTAGCTTAATAGAATTATAGTTTAACAGTAAATTTAAGATTAGTATTAATGTATTATTATAGGCCTAGAATTGAGAAATGTCATATACTTAATATTCAATTAAAATCTCCGTACGATCACGCAGATACGTCTATTAGCAAGTAAAGTATAAAGTATAAATTATCTGAGGAATGTAAACAAAAATTATGAATTTGTCGGAAAGCCATTTATCAATAATCAAGTCAGTAATCTAAATATTTCCTTTTAAATTATGTTGTTATAAATCTTGAAGTAATAGCATCATTATTACATCTAGTTAAGAAATTTTTTATATAAAAATTTTCGATGCATTTAAACGATTAACCGCAGGAACGTTGGTTAAAGAATTAATACAAAATGTTCTCAGACATTCTTAGAATAGTTTTCTCCAATATTAATTATTCATAAGTCGGTTAGCGATGAGATAATTGACAGGACATTTCTCTCTAACAGGATGTAAAGCCACGGAAGCCATATTTGTATTAAGGAACACTTTACAGGTTTCACATCCGACTACTTCGTTAAACATCAAGAATTAAAGTTTAATATATATATCTTGCGAGCATTTACACACATTATTACCCACTAAGTAACGATTTTAATATCTTCTTGCTATAAGCTGAAATACAATTGAAACGACCACAACGAATTCTCGAAAAATAAAGTCGCTTTTAATTTGAGTTATTATTGTATTTTTAAGTATATCTATTGAATGACTATAGTTTATAATTATCCTATTTAAATAGTGCAGCATTGTAACGACAACGAAAATGTTGATTTTACTTTTTTGCAAACAAATGATTCATTAAGTGTAGTGGTAAATCAACGTTATTGATCTTTCAGTCAATTTATCTGCATTAACGTTACTCATTTCTTTATCTCGAATTATTTTTTTAAAGTAAAATGCACAGCATCATAAATTTAATAGATTTGAAGTTGGTTATTCTTTATACAAAAATTCAACGATACACCAAGTTTTATTTCCGGGAAAAAATTTCTTAATCTACACCATTTAGATCAAATTTGTGGTGTTACTTGAAAAGAATAATATAAGTAGACTCATAACTTACAAGGATTGATAAAATATTTTTGAGAAGACGAAACTTTTAAGTTGCATTTTCCGAAATTCTGTTGGATATAATCAACTTATATACTGTAACTTTTTGTTTGGAAAGATTCTGCAAGTGTTCCTTGAATTGAAATTGAAATTGCAAAAGTTTTTATAATATTTTAAAATTATCAAAACTTTTTGATAGTAATTTATAAACAGTATATTATATAATATTCGATTAATAAACACCAAACAAATAAAGCCAATTATTTAAAATATTATTTCAAATGAAAAAATTATAACATTTTAAAAGGAGCTGAATTCTTTTATATATTTATTTATCACTGAATTTTTCAAAATATTAAAGTAGTGACATTTTCAGAATTTACTCTTTATAAAATTTGACCAAAAAAGAAAAGAAAAACAGGAAGAAATGAAAAAAAAAGAAGAAGAATTTAACTGTAAGGATTTACAGAATATTCAGTAAACATATATCAGAATATAAAGTAAAAATTCTCCGAAGGAAAATCAAATGATTGTTACTGCTCCGTTTCTGATTCAAATTCAAATTTAAAAATTTAGTAGAGGAGGACCATAAATTTAGTTTTAGCGACATATCGTCCAAACAATATCTTCGTTTTTGCTTATGAGAGGAATGGAGAAATTTAAATGTATTAGTTTTAATTGGCGTTATCAGTTTGTCAGTTTTTGTATATATACAAAAAGGACAAATAATGCCGTCTAAAATTCAAACTATAGCATATCACAATCAAAATTTTATCATTTTTATCTAAATAATATTTATAACTAGGTAAAAGTATCTTATTTATCATATTTTATGATTGAATTTGAGTTAAAAAGAAAAAAATTTATAACATTACATACTAAATATCTAACACTTTAATTACTTGTTTTAAGTTTTCGAAGGATATAATTTGAAGAAAAGAATCTAATAATCTAAAGGCTTATTTTTTCATAGGTTTAAAAATTAACTTTCACAAATTTCTACAAGACAAATATATAAAATAATTTGGAAAATTTTATAGATTTTGCGTATTCTTAAGAAAGCAAAAGTTGTGGGACAGACACGAATGGGAATTCCATCATGCTACTAATAAACTTTTCCGTGACTGGATTAAACTTTCATATCTGATGAGAACATTATATAGCACGGGTCAATATTGTGAAAAATTCTTCGTGACTGGATTTATGGCTCTTCTCTTCCACGAGAAGTTGTTTCACTTGGAAGAGAAGCACTCTATGATCGGAAATATTATTACTTTCCCGGAACTGATTACGTAAAAACATTTTTATTTATGCTTCTTCATAAATGACATTCTAAACAGTGCATAGAAATTATATTCCTCTTCCTATATTAAAAAGTAGATTAACGGTCAGTTTTATGCTATAAAACTTTAAAAATATGGCTAAAATCTCGATTAAAAACTGTATATAGGCCTATATTTAAAATTCGGCGCGAACATTAATTTTTCTACTTTCTGACTTAACGGTTATTTCTATATGTAGGTTTAATGGATTAACTGACAAACAGATTTTAGACTATCTTGTCGACAAAACGCGCTATGACGAGAGAATGAGACCTCAAGGTAAGTAAGTATCTGCAGTTTTATATTTTTCTAAGTAAGTTTGAATTTATACAACTCGAAAAGCTTACTAAATTAAGAAATATTATTATTTTCTCTATAAGGTATCACGTTTTGCTGATCAGAACAAACAATCTATATTAATATAATTGTCAAAGGAAATAAAACTTGATTACATTTATGTGGGAGAAATCCCAATCGAATTGTATTGTGACAGTTGCGAATGGATTGACTCTCGTTTGCTTGCTCTTTGTGCAACTGTCACATTAAGGATAAGGTCTCGTTGTTCGATTGACAGCCGGAAAGTTATCTGGAAAATGTTACAGAATAGCTTCTAGGCTGTAAAATCTGCTTTCTGAATTTTAGTCTTTTAGAAAAGCTTTCTATCAACAAAAATAGCTGAAGTTTCCTTGTGAAAAAAATCGCTTGAGAAACAACATATTTAAAGTTTAACAACATAAATGAACTTTTATATAACCTTTTTAAAAAATATATAATTCAAAATTTTTTATTAGGAAAAGATGATGAAATGTCACAAAATTCGATTATGAAAATATATGTTGCTGAAATCGCATTTTGTTTGATTGTAAAAAAATTCCCTTTCCTTTCAATACCATTATATTTTATAAAATAGACAAATCGTTATACAAATTTAAGATAATTTAATAATATATTTAGAATGTAAGATTGGAGTTTATCCTTTAGATGTAGTGAAGTAATAGAGAAAATGATTAACTTCCAAATTTGAAAAGGTTATTCACGCGTTTTGTAATAATTGTAAAAGAAAATATTGGTCTACAACATAGATTACTTTTATTAAAACTCAGCTTAAAAGATAACGCAACTTTCAATTTTTAAAGTGTGTGTATGTAATACCAAATCAAAATTTAATAAAAGCAACATATATCAAAATTTAGTAATAAACTTTTATATTTAAAAAATAAATAAATATTTAGGTTTATTCATGAACTATTTAACTTGTATTCAGTCCTGTATAAATATACAAAAACCTTCATCGATTTTATCTATATTTTCTGTATTTTCTTCAATCGATATTTACAGTTGTATAATGTACGTGTACTATACGTTTATAGTTTGTGTATTCTAAATAAAATAATGGTTAAACCTCTAATCTTTATAATAAAAAAATTAATTCTTGTTCGGAAAAATTTCTCGATTATTTTAAAATATATATTTTAAAATTTATATATAATTTTTCTGTTCTGTTTACAGAATTAACAATTGTTAACGTCACCGTCCTTATACTTTCCTTGTCATCACCTGACGAATCGAGTTTGGTGAGTTTTTAACTATGTAAGAAATTTATAATTCATTAAATCAATGAATGAATAAATGTTTATAAAACTATGCTCAATAATCTTGATCAAATATTTTAATGCAAAGTTAATTATGAGAGGTTAGAGAAACTTTAAGGGGATTATTTAAAAAATGAGAGCGCAATGAAAACTTTCAAGAAAGGAAGGGGAAAAAAGGAAAGTTTTGTGAGAACAGGCCAATACGCCGCCTTGGCTTTTAGCCAAAAATTTGTGTAGGATCTTGTTTTATAGATAATGAAAGCAATATGAAAAATGCAAAGAGACGTCAGATTGTTAAATTGTTCCATTACAGTCCTAAAATAATTTCTTTAAATTTTAATATGCTAGTAATTGAAGTTTTCATTTTATTAGGAAATATAACTTATTGCTATGTTTGTAGCAAATCTTATCTGTTTCCTACTGGATGTCGAGTGTTTGATGAGATTTGTGAATTTATAGCATCACGGGAATAAAGGCTGCTATGCTAACCTAGTACATGGAAAACATGGTCCGATAATTTCCACCTTAAATCGTTTACCTGTTTATTTCTTCCTTGGGAGGTCTTCCCACATTACTTTTATTAAACAATGTTAGGTAGATGAAATTATTTTTTAATTTTCTTTCTATTAGTTTACTTATCACTGTATTATTGTTTAAAACGATAAAATATTATTACCGTTTGGAACTAAATAAGAATTTAAATGAAGATAATTATTATTTAATAATATAAATTTAAAACTTCGTCTTCAAAACTTTTAAACAATCATTTTAAAAGCTATGAATACATTATTTCTATTATTAAAATAACTGTAGGACATGAATAAATAAAAATGTTAAAGTTGGAGACAAACTGACGATGTAATATTTAAAATGCTATACAATTAATCGATATAACAGTACGAATATAGTTTTTAATTTAATAAGCAAACATTTTCCTTTCAATTACTAATTAAATTTCATCAGACTTAAGGACTCAAATTTTCATCAGAAAGGCACTGAAATAATTAGAAGCTTTGCAATAACTTATTATCTAATTAAATAATATTTGGATTAATCTTTCAGATGAATTTTATCTGAACCTGCTCTAATCAATGTTACATTATTTTTCCGATAATACTTAATAATCAGTTTATATATTTAATAACTATATAAACCTACGTTAATATGTATTTCTTGTACACCGTTTACTTCAGTATATTCATTTTAAATTTTATTTTAGTATATATTTTAATATCACATATTTAATTTTGATCAATTTTCACTTTTAGATAGTTCATAAAAGCGTTTTTATTTTAATACTTAAAAATACTTTGACTAATTTTACACTTGTAATATTANTTTTTTTTTTTTTTTTCATTATACCGCATTTATTTTCTTTGAAGATCTTAGGAATCACACATTATCTTCAATATTCTCTCGTTTATTGTAATTGTTCCTATTATAAGATTATAGCCTACCTGTAACCTGCTTATATTTTCCGTATACTCAGCTAGAAAAACTAGCGAAAGAGGTGTTAATAGTGAATTTAATGATATTAATTGTACTGTACAGCGTATAAATTCTTCCCGGTTTTCATTAGAAATTTTAAAAATTCGATTTTCCCCCACTCATAAATTACTAAGCGAAACGATCGAGAATTAACGATCTTACTCGAAACGTCAATATAAATAGGAAAGCAGTTTACAGGAAATTTTCTTGTGCGTGTTGCAATTTTTAAGCTAGATAGGAAAATATTAAAGAAACGGCTGTAATTCAATTCGACCGGCATGATATTCCTTACTCCCCTTTAGTTCAATGGTGCACTCCGAAGAGAGATTGTCGTCAATCGTTGTCATGGCAACATAGAAAACCGCATCGAAGAGACTCCTAAATAGTGGTACTGCTACTGCAGGTTTGTAAGTTAGATATTTAAGTCGAAAGGTTTTTCCTCGGTTTCTTTTCTTCTGTGAGTAAATTGTTCGTACCCTTTACAGCATTGAAGTGTCGCTGTTGGATTCAAACGTCGCCCCTTCATTCATGGATTTCTCATTTTCAAGATTCCTCCGCATTTCCAGATTATGACATCAACTAAAGGATGGTGTAGGTCATTGATCTGTTTTTTTTTTTTTTTTAAATCCAATTTGAAAAAATAATATCCTAACTCTTACATCTCTCATTGCTGGTAGTTGATAATGAACGTGTCTGAATAGTTTTCTGTAATGAGTAATGCATGCAGGTAGAGAAGATAACATCAGTGGAATTTTTGGAAATTCACGTAGAACGTATGAGTAACTAATTACATTTTCCTACGTGAACACTTTATAAATAAATAAAACGTATAAATTATTTTTATTATTTAAAAAATCATCAGTTTCTTATATGCATGATTAAAAATGGGTGCGTTTTAATATCAAAATTGAATTTATAACAGCCATCAAAATTGAATTTTATACCAAGTAATTAAATATAATAGCGTATTAAACAAATTAAGTTCAAACTGTATAACGTTTAACAATTTTTTAAGACTTTAATAAAGGAAATATGTTTATTTTTATTTTTTTAAAGAAATAAATATGAATAGTATTTGTAAGCCAGATTGATATAAAAATTCAGCAGGATTGAATAAGTTATATTATCTTATTTTAGGATGTGCAGAATGTGGAGGTTCGTTTTATTGCTGGGATCAGTGCTAACAGTTGGCGTGAACTTGGCTGAAGCAGAAAAAGAGTAAGTAATACCTGGAATTTTAATAAATGTAATTTAATAAAACGAAATCAGTTCAATTTGTTAATATTATAAACTTTTTACTCCTTTTAAATAAAAACAAATACACTTTCTAAGAAAAACTTCAAGTATTTATAATTTGATTATTATATAGTATAAAAATACAAAATAAATATTAAAATAATGCACATAATATCAAAAAATATTCATATTAATTTATATAATATTAATGTTTATGTATAAAATAAAACATCTAGTTACTTTAATTTTAAGAATTCTGTTAATGATTTCTTATCAACCATTTAATAAAATTATTAAATCATACAGTTTAAAAAAAATAAAGAGAAATTTTAATTTAGAAATTTATTAAATTAAATTCAAATTGCATTAGATTTTGTATTCTTGTGTAGTGTAGGAATTAGCTTAATTTAGTTATTTTCAAAATTATATATATGTGTACAGTTCATAAACTATAGAGATCTGTAGTTATATATAGTTGTATATGTATAAATATATATTTTTAGTTATAATATAATGTGTAATTTATATATATCTATATAAACTACAGATTATATAATATCTACAGATAACTGCATAAATATATGTATATTTATATAACTATAATAGAATATGACATATTTAGTTTTTACATATTTTTATAATTATAAAATGAATTTTTAATTAAAATTTTAATAATAGTATTAATATACTAGTTTTTTGTAGTTCTAATAAATAACCTTGTAGTTATCAGAGTAACTATTATAGAATAGAAATGGATAGATATTTTCATGATATTAAGAATAAAATTGATAGAATAATCAGCAAGGAGGTGCAAGAACAGAATAAAATTCTGAATTTAAATAAATAAGTACTCTTAGTTATGGCTCACTATCTGGTGTTGTCAGGAACAAGTATGAACAATCTTCTGTATTTGGAGTTTGGGCCCCCAGATGTTGCACAGGACCACAACCACCAAGGTAAGTTTGCCTGCCTCCTGCTCGAGAAAGAAGGCATTAAGAGCCAAAGTAGCTGCACTTATACAATGAAAATTATATTTTTATTTAACCAATAACTTAATGGTTCCTCAAACAATCAATGAAAATGAAATATGAAATAAAACTTACATAATTGATAGTTCTAACAATTATAACTAAACAGATTACTCTAAGAATTTATGTAATTGAGTACAGAATTTTATTCTGTAGCAAATTTATGCTAAACGAGGAATTTTATCCAAAACATAAATTCTGTTATGTTTTTAGAATAGACTTCTTCTTAGAACATTTACTAATATTCTAATCTGTTAATCTGTTTTAATTAAATTATTTTTTTAAATAATAACGTGAAAAGATATAAGTAGAATTATGTTGTATTATATTTTATTAATTATAGAGTAGTTTTAGTAATTATATAAACATTTAAATATACATTTATGACTAATTATAACTGAATAATATATTTTCGATGGGAATAATTAAAAAAGACAGTCTTTTATATAAATGAGAATTGTTTCGGGAACCAAATCGCTTGTTTTATTTAATTAACCATTCCTTTTTGCATTGTGTTGAACCCATTTATGCGTTAATAGTTTGTTTTTTACTAATCAAATTCTAGCTTTTTTTAATATATTTTTTTATTAGCTTAATAGAATTATAGTTTAACAGTAAATTTAAGATTAGTATTAATGTATTATTATAGGCCTAGAATTGAGAAATGTCATATACTTAATATTCAATTAAAATCTCCGTACGATCACGCAGATACGTCTATTAGCAAGTAAAGTATAAAGTATAAATTATCTGAGGAATGTAAACAAAAATTATGAATTTGTCGGAAAGCCATTTATCAATAATCAAGTCAGTAATCTAAATATTTCCTTTTAAATTATGTTGTTATAAATCTTGAAGTAATAGCATCATTATTACATCTAGTTAAGAAATTTTTTATATAAAAATTTTCGATGCATTTAAACGATTAACCGCAGGAACGTTGGTTAAAGAATTAATACAAAATNATAATATATTTAGAATGTAAGATTGGAGTTTATCCTTTAGATGTAGTGAAGTAATAGAGAAAATGATTAACTTCCAAATTTGAAAAGGTTATTCATTAGTGATTTAATAATTGTAAAAGAAAATATTGGTCTACAGCATCATTATTACATCTAGTTAAGAAATTTTTTATATAAAAATTTTCGATGCATTTAAACGATTAACCGCAGGAACGTTGGTTAAAGAATTAATACAAAATGTTCTCAGACATTCTTAGAATAGTTTTCTCCAATATTAATTATTCATAAGTCGGTTAGCGATGAGATAATTGACAGGACATTTCTCTCTAACAGGATGTAAAGCCACGGAAGCCATATTTGTATTAAGGAACACTTTACAGGTTTCACATCCGACTACTTCGTTAAACATCAAGAATTAAAGTTTAATATATATATCTTGCGAGCATTTACACACATTATTACCCACTAAGTAACGATTTTAATATCTTCTTGCTATAAGCTGAAATACAATTGAAACGACCACAACGAATTCTCGAAAAATAAAGTCGCTTTTAATTTGAGTTATTATTGTATTTTTAAGTATATCTATTGAATGACTATAGTTTATAATTATCCTATTTAAATAGTGCAGCATTGTAACGACAACGAAAATGTTGATTTTACTTTTTTGCAAACAAATGATTCATTAAGTGTAGTGGTAAATCAACGTTATTGATCTTTCAGTCAATTTATCTGCATTAACGTTACTCATTTCTTTATCTCGAATTATTTTTTTAAAGTAAAATGCACAGCATCATAAATTTAATAGATTTGAAGTTGGTTATTCTTTATACAAAAATTCAACGATACACCAAGTTTTATTTCCGGGAAAAAATTTCTTAATCTACACCATTTAGATCAAATTTGTGGTGTTACTTGAAAAGAATAATATAAGTAGACTCATAACTTACAAGGATTGATAAAATATTTTTGAGAAGACGAAACTTTTAAGTTGCATTTTCCGAAATTCTGTTGGATATAATCAACTTATATACTGTAACTTTTTGTTTGGAAAGATTCTGCAAGTGTTCCTTGAATTGAAATTGAAATTGCAAAAGTTTTTATAATATTTTAAAATTATTTATATTTAAATATTCTTTACGTATGGTTGGAAAATTGTATAAAATTCTTTTAAACAAGTAAGGATAATTGGTATTGTTCTGAGTAGCTAATTTTGTAGTTGAATATAAAATTATTTTAACTATTTTTTCTTATTTATTTAAGCATTTTTAATAATAAAATATTACACAAGATTTATTTTATAATATTTTAAAATTATTTATATTCTATCTGTCAATATGTCCACATTGATAGATAGAATATAAATAACCTTTGATTCATTTTTGTTATTCTATACTAATTAGANTCAAATAAAAAAATTATAACATTTTAAAAGGAGCTGAATTCTTTTATATATTTATTTATCACTGAATTTTTCAAAATATTAAAGTAGTGACATTTTCAGAATTTACTCTTTATAAAATTTGACCAAAAAAGAAAAGAAAAACAGGAAGAAATGAAAAAAAAGAAGAAGAATTTAACTGTAAGGATTTACAGAATATTCAGTAAACATATATCAGAATATAAAGTAAAAATTCTCCGAAGGAAAATCAAATGATTGTTACTGCTCCGTTTCTGATTCAAATTCAAATTTAAAAATTTAGTAGAGGAGGACCATAAATTTAGTTTTAGCGACATATCGTCCAAACAATATCTTCGTTTTTGCTTATGAGAGGAATGGAGAAATTTAAATGTATTAGTTTTAATTGGCGTTATCAGTTTGTCAGTTTTTGTATATATACAAAAAGGACAAATAATGCCGTCTAAAATTCAAACTATAGCATATCACAATCAAAATTTTATCATTTTTATCTAAATAATATTTATAACTAGGTAAAAGTATCTTATTTATCATATTTTATGATTGAATTTGAGTTAAAAAGAAAAAAATTTATAACATTACATACTAAATATCTAACACTTTAATTACTTGTTTTAAGTTTTCGAAGGATATAATTTGAAGAAAAGAATCTAATAATCTAAAGGCTTATTTTTTCATAGGTTTAAAAATTAACTTTCACAAATTTCTACAAGACAAATATATAAAATAATTTGGAAAATTTTATAGATTTTGCGTATTCTTAAGAAAGCAAAAGTTGTGGGACAGACACGAATGGGAATTCCATCATGCTACTAATAAACTTTTCCGTGACTGGATTAAACTTTCATATCTGATGAGAACATTATATAGCACGGGTCAATATTGTGAAAAATTCTTCGTGACTGGATTTATGGCTCTTCTCTTCCACGAGAAGTTGTTTCACTTGGAAGAGAAGCACTCTATGATCGGAAATATTATTACTTTCCCGGAACTGATTACGTAAAAACATTTTTATTTATGCTTCTTCATAAATGACATTCTAAACAGTGCATAGAAATTATATTCCTCTTCCTATATTAAAAAGTAGATTAACGGTCAGTTTTATGCTATAAAACTTTAAAAATATGGCTAAAATCTCGATTAAAAACTGTATATAGGCCTATATTTAAAATTCGGCGCGAACATTAATTTTTCTACTTTCTGACTTAACGGTTATTTCTATATGTAGGTTTAATGGATTAACTGACAAACAGATTTTAGACTATCTTGTCGACAAAACGCGCTATGACGAGAGAATGAGACCTCAAGGTAAGTAAGTATCTGCAGTTTTATATTTTTCTAAGTAAGTTTGAATTTATACAACTCGAAAAGCTTACTAAATTAAGAAATATTATTATTTTCTCTATAAGGTATCACGTTTTGCTGATCAGAACAAACAATCTATATTAATATAATTGTCAAAGGAAATAAAACTTGATTACATTTATGTGGGAGAAATCCCAATCGAATTGTATTGTGACAGTTGCGAATGGATTGACTCTCGTTTGCTTGCTCTTTGTGCAACTGTCACATTAAGGATAAGGTCTCGTTGTTCGATTGACAGCCGGAAAGTTATCTGGAAAATGTTACAGAATAGCTTCTAGGCTGTAAAATCTGCTTTCTGAATTTTAGTCTTTTAGAAAAGCTTTCTATCAACAAAAATAGCTGAAGTTTCCTTGTGAAAAAAATCGCTTGAGAAACAACATATTTAAAGTTTAACAACATAAATGAACTTTTATATAACCTTTTAAAAAAATATATAATTCAAAATTTTTTATTAGGAAAAGATGATGAAATGTCACAAAATTCGATTATGAAAATATATGTTGCTGAAATCGCATTTTGTTTGATTGTAAAAAAATTCCCTTTCCTTTCAATACCATTATATTTTATAAAATAGACAAATCGTTATACAAATTTAAGATAATTTAATAATATATTTAGAATGTAAGATTGGAGTTTATCCTTTAGATGTAGTGAAGTAATAGAGAAAATGATTAACTTCCAAATTTGAAAAGGTTATTCACGCGTTTTGTAATAATTGTAAAAGAAAATATTGGTCTACAACATAGATTACTTTTATTAAAACTCAGCTTAAAAGATAACGCAACTTTCAATTTTTAAAGTGTGTGTATGTAATACCAAATCAAAATTTAATAAAAGCAACATATATCAAAATTTAGTAATAAACTTTTATATTTAAAAAATAAATAAATATTTAGGTTTATTCATGAACTATTTAACTTGTATTCAGTCCTGTATAAATATACAAAAACCTTCATCGATTTTATCTATATTTTCTGTATTTTCTTCAATCGATATTTACAGTTGTATAATGTACGTGTACTATACGTTTATAGTTTGTGTATTCTAAATAAAATAATGGTTAAACCTCTAATCTTTATAATAAAAAAATTAATTCTTGTTCGGAAAAATTTCTCGATTATTTTAAAATATATATTTTAAAATTTATATATAATTTTTCTGTTCTGTTTACAGAATTAACAATTGTTAACGTCACCGTCCTTATACTTTCCTTGTCATCACCTGACGAATCGAGTTTGGTGAGTTTTTAACTATGTAAGAAATTTATAATTCATTAAATCAATGAATGAATAAATGTTTATAAAACTATGCTCAATAATCTTGATCAAATATTTTAATGCAAAGTTAATTATGAGACGTTAGAGAAACTTTAAGGGGATTATTTAAAAAATGAGAGCGCAATGAAAACTTTCAAGAAAGGAAGGGGAAAAAAGGAAAGTTTTGTGAGAACAGGCCAATACGCCGCCTTGGCTTTTAGCCAAAAATTTGTGTAGGATCTTGTTTTATAGATAATGAAAGCAATATGAAAAATGCAAAGAGACGTCAGATTGTTAAATTGTTCCATTACAGTCCTAAAATAATTTCTTTAAATTTTAATATGCTAGTAATTGAAGTTTTCATTTTATTAGGAAATATAACTTATTGCTATGTTTGTAGCAAATCTTATCTGTTTCCTACTGGATGTCGAGTGTTTGATGAGATTTGTGAATTTATAGCATCACGGGAATAAAGGCTGCTATGCTAACCTAGTACATGGAAAACATGGTCCGATAATTTCCACCTTAAATCGTTTACCTGTTTATTTCTTCCTTGGGAGGTCTTCCCACATTACTTTTATTAAACAATGTTAGGTAGATGAAATTATTTTTTAATTTTCTTTCTATTAGTTTACTTATCACTGTATTATTGTTTAAAACGATAAAATATTATTACCGTTTGGAACTAAATAAGAATTTAAATGAAGATAATTATTATTTAATAATATAAATTTAAAACTTCGTCTTCAAAACTTTTAAACAATCATTTTAAAAGCTATGAATACATTATTTCTATTATTAAAATAACTGTAGGACATGAATAAATAAAAATGTTAAAGTTGGAGACAAACTGACGATGTAATATTTAAAATGCTATACAATTAATCGATATAACAGTACGAATATAGTTTTTAATTTAATAAGCAAACATTTTCCTTTCAATTACTAATTAAATTTCATCAGACTTAAGGATTCAAATTTTCATCAGAAAGGCACTGAAATAATTAGAAGCTTTGCAATAACTTATTATCTAATTAAATAATATTTGGATTAATCTTTCAGATGAATTTTATCTGAACCTGCTCTAATCAATGTTACATTATTTTTCCGATAATACTTAATAATCAGTTTATATATTTAATAACTATATAAACCTACGTTAATATGTATTTCTTGTACACCGTTTACTTCAGTATATTCATTTTAAATTTTATTTTAGTATATATTTTAATATCACATATTTAATTTTGATCAATTTTCACTTTTAGATAGTTCATAAAAGCGTTTTTATTTTAATACTTAAAAATACTTTGACTAATTTTACACTTGTAATATTATTTTTATGAGTGCTAGAGTTTTTAAAATAAAATATTTGTTTCTTTAATGGTTTTTAAATGGCTTTTTAAATTGTTGAATTATTTTTTCATTCCAAAATCTAACTTATATTAATAATTTAGGAGAAAATCTTTTCTTATTAAATTAAATTACTCAATATTGTATATAATTGAATAATATTATAATTGAAAAAATTATTATTGAAATTATAATGATATTTTATTATATGAACACCTAGCATCATTTAAAATATTAAATTTTTGCTTTTGAAAAACATTTTAAAATATTATCCAGTGTTTTAGTACATAAACGTGGTAGAAAGAAGTTTGCTTTATTATCTCGTCACTGGTAAAAGCCCTGTTCATAGTTTATTTATTAAGATAAATTGAACATTGTAATCAGAATTTAAGTATTATTCAAGTTCAATCTTCTTTAAATTTTGTCATCTTCTAAATCTTAATTTTATTATCTCAGAATCATCTCTGACTCAAAGCATAATCAATATAAATGTATTTAATAATCTATCTAGAGCTAAGTTTATAATAGTCACAATTTAAAATAGGTAAGTTATAAAGAATTAAGATTATTTATTTTAAGGATATAAGGAATTAGTTACAATTATTAATTTCATAATTTTTCAAATTATCTAAATAAATTTTAACCGAAAATAAAACATTAAGAGACATTTCACTTTGAAAATATACAAGCTCGTGTATATAAAATAATAATCTCATTGTTTGTCTAGATAATATCCGGGACAAAACAGTAATAAAATAAATAGATCAGTTACAACAACACGAATGACATGGTATTATTAAATTTCGAAAAAAAACACTAGCCACATGTTTTACGAAATAAAGTTTGTTTTAATATTCCTATAAATGTAAAATCACAAAAATTCAAGACGAGCAACTGAATTGATAAATCGAGAAAGCCTCACTTATCCTATGACAATCGGTAAATGTCGCTTTCAGCAAGTTCGTGACAGGTGTGATAATGTTAGATAATGTACAGACCTGCATGAAAATTATATTCCCTTGATATTTATATTTGGTTAAAGGTCATTCATATTTAACGAAGAATATTGACAAGAATTAGTGACTATGACTTTTCGGTAACATTTTCCAGGAATTTATTTTTTTTTTTTAAACTTAAGTTTCTATTTAAATTTTATGATTTGTATTATAAAAAAACTAAATTAAAGCAAAATCACAGCCTATTTATTTATTATTGTAATTAATCGTCAATGCTTTCTAAAACAAAAAAATTAAAAATCTTTGCTGAAAGAGAATTTTAGACTTTGGGTTCGTATTATTATTTTTCTAATAAAGAACTATTTTTTTCTAAGCAAATATTTGATTTAAAAAAATATTGTATTAGAATTATTTGAAATTTCTTTTAAAGGAATTTTCTCAAGTTTTCACTGATGGCCATTTAAATTACTCATTTAAAATGACTAATATCTATTTGATTTCACGATCGCATGTGAACTACAAGTACTACAAAGTTATTACGAATAACTCTATCAATAAAATCTTGGTAACAGCTTCCCCAATTTCAACAAAATTGAAATATTTTTATCTTCTGATTGATATTTTAAGAAACGTAATTCCTTCTACAATGAGAAGTTATATGATTTCGTTCGTTCAACAATCGAGTAGATGAAATATATTGCAAATTTAAGTTAGCGAATACCATATACCATTTAGATATTAGAATGATTGAATGTATTATTCATGATTATTCGATTTAACACGTGTTTTGTAATGACAAGTTTAAAATTATTTTGGGGAGTAATAGCTATTAGAATTGAATCTAATGTCAAGACCCAACGATTATTCTTGCACGTTTTTTGATAAGTTTTTAGATATTTTTATCTCATTTCTTGCTGTTTTATTAGAATTTTTATTGAAAGATTTATATTTTAAAATTATTTATATTCTATCTGTCAATATGTCCACATTGATAGATAGAATATAAATAACCTTTGATTCATTTTTGTTATTCTATACTAATTAGAATTTATCTTTGTAATTTAGATCTAGAGTTTGCATTTGTTTCAACAAATAGTGCTGTATTTTTATTAATTTTTAAAAACTTTTGTCTTTCTCACACTAACTTTGCTTTCAAAGGCGATTCAATAGGTATAAATTAATTCACTGAAGAGGAAAGTAACAATAAGAGAGAAAGAGAGAGTTATTGGCGTGGGTAATTTTCAATAAATTTACATATTATTTTAGCATTTCATCAAATCATAAAGCTACTAGCTTGTTATTCTACTGGTGATTTTGAATATTATAAAATTAATGACAAAATTAATTCCTGTAGAACATGAATTTTATCGATTTAATGGGTATTCAGTGTTTCTGTTTATATATTACTCAATATTCGCATTTTATTTTATAGAAATACGAAGTTGAATTTCTGATGCATCAGTACTGGAGAGATCCTAGATTAAAATTCGACGATGGAGGGGAGCACCGTTACCTGAACGGTATGGAGCATACAAAAGTGATCTGGCTGCCTGACACGTACTTCATCAAACATGGAGAGTTCAAACATCCTCTTATTCCCCTGGATATAGGCTTGAGGATATATCCGGATGGCAAAGTCCAGTATTCCATGAGGTGGTAGAGACTACACAAAACATTTAGTAATAGTTAGAGGTAAAGTTCTGGTAGCGATTACACAACGAAATCATGACAGAGAAAGACTGAAATGTTATTGAAAGTCATGTGATTTACGGTTAACTCCAATAAATTGGGATAACATTAGATGACAAATGGATTATTATTATTACTATTATTATTATAGATTAAGACCTAATCGTATTTAATTTATTTAATGTGGACTTGATCTCGTATGTCTTTGTCTCTTCTAATGTGTAATGGCAAAAAAAGCGATTTGATTGTATAATAGTTATGAAATATATTCATTATGTTTATGCAAGTATGTATTCTTTGAAATATTTTTGATATAATAAACATTTATAATTTCAGACGAAGCATGATACTTAACTGTCAGGGTAATTTACATATATTTCCATTTGACAATCTCAAGTGTCCCTTTGCGATTGAAAGCGGTGAGTTTTTTTTTAAATTATTGATATTAAAACCATAAAATAATAAATATAGAATATATATTCAGTGAGTAGAAGTTTAATTTAATATTTTAATTTAGTATTTTATTATTTTTTGAAAATATATCTCACTTTTCTCAAAAACATAAATAAATGTATAAAAAAAGTAAATGTTTAAACGTGATTCGTGAATAGTGACATATTGTGATATATTATATATTTAATTAGTTCTTGGGAAAGGTTATGTAAAGAAATATGACCATATGAAACGTCAAAGTATATAAGAAGTATTGTTAAGATAAATCTTGGATAGAATAGAGAGGAACGTGCTGAATAAATTTTAAGGATTTTCTGACTAGAAAGAAATCTGATTGTATTACTACAAAGGTGACCTACCAGCGTGAAAATCTGCTTTTGATGCTGAACCTCATTTCAACTTTTTAAGAAATGATTGTCAGTTGATTTATGTACTGTACCGTACAGTAAGTGAAGTACTGAATAGTATATATAAAATTACTTTTATAAAGTTAATGTTATTCAATGTAACAACTAAAAAGTGACCAAAGATTTATACGATTGTTTATCGTTAGATTTAAAAAAAAAATCGTTTTTTAGTTGAAGATCTTGTATTTAAGTACAGTACAAATATATAGCCTATATTATATTCTTTGTCGAGATTGATAAATTGATAACTAGAAATCTCAAAGAAAAAATATTATTAGCTATTAATAGCTGACCTACATTTGGATTTAGCACCAATTCTTAAAAAAAAATAAATGTAGAGATGTTATTTCATTAATATTTTATTCAGAGCTATTTTTGATTTATAACCTTCTTAAAAGAAAATTTTTAAAGAAAACGAGTTTAAATATTTCAGTTCACTAAATGAAAAGTATCCGTAAATTAATTTTATATAAGGTAGATTTTCATTAAAAACTTACCTTAAAATTACTGCGCCTATTAAATCCATATTGTAATTTTATAAATATTTATATACCTGTATATTCTAAAATTTTATTTAAATAATAAAATCAATACTTAAATTATTTACAGCTATCAATAAAAATAATAGATGTATGAATTCTTCTTTGTGGATATGGAAATTAATCTGTTTTGAAACTAAATTATAAATCATTTGAAGAAAAATTAAAGGCGAAATGAATTAGAAAAAATGATATTTAAGCATAAATTTACTTAAATTTAATAATTAAATACAAGCTACATTGAGATAAAAGTGACCATAGAATCTATAGAGAGACTATAGAATGATTAATAAAAAAGGATACAAACCATTATTCAGCTTCGAAAATGAGCATAAAATGTAAAAATGCATTATTTTATTTGGATTTTCCATATTGTAAGGTTTGTGACATTATTTATGACAAAGTTAATCCTGAAGATGAATTTTGTCATAACCATGTAATGATTTTTCAATTGTGTTTTCAAGTTTAACTTAAAACGATAAAAATATTTAATTTATTAGAATCTTATTTAGAGAGAGAAAAAATTCATATATCCACAACGTTTCGTACATTTTATCTGTTCGTTATTAAATAAAAAGCCCGCTAAACTTTAGTACTGTACTTTTCCTATCGTCGTTTGAACTTTCTCAAATCACTCATTTAAGAAAAACTCAAACGAAAGTGCTTCTTTATTATTATTTCTTCAACGATTTTGTATTACGAAAACAATAGTTGTGTTAAACTGGATAAGTCTGGTTTTAGTTAATTTCAAATATAGTCTATCTTACTAATAACGTAGTGAAGATTATTCTAACTGAAATCTACTCAATATCGTATTAAATTACAGTATAATTCGATTTTTATAAGTATGGATTAAAACTTTTTCCGTAGATTTTAAATACTAATATACGAATTTTTCCTTAATAATTACTGTCAGATCAATTTCTAAGATGTAAGATTCTCTGAAAATTCTTAAATCAAGATGCTTACTATTGAAATGATATACATGAATTTTTAATGTTTTATATTTCAAAAATTTTCATTTCTATAGTTATAGTTTCCTTAAAGCATTTCTTTAATATTTAATTTTGGTCCTTTTCATATTTTGTAATGCCCCAAGAACGATAATTATAAATAATTTAGATAAAATTTATAAATTTGTGTGTGTCGTAGTAGAGAAATACAATATATTTGCATTTGAATTTAATTATTTTGATTTTGATCCAAACTGTATTTAAAGAGATTTAAAACATAATTTTTTCTGTACAAAGTTAATAAATTTATTGTTTTCCATTAGATACATAAATATATACGTTAAAATATAACCTCGTATATCTTTTTTGTCCTTATCATTTATTTATAGAAACATGCGAAAGTGAAATTAGTTTCTTGCGTGAAAAAAGTTAATTAAGAAACTATCAGAATTCTTTTTCGAAATATTCTCTCCTCTCTTCCCATCATACATATAACATTATTATGCAAAGAGTTTTAGAAAATAAAAGATTCTTTGCAAGGAAAAGAATTTTATTTTATCTAAATCTTCATTTTCTATTACGTACATTTTATAATTGGAAATGCAGGCCGTATTATTATAAATACGAATTATTTTGCAAGTTCTTGAATTCATTTTCCTGTAAAGAATAAGATAACATGTACAATACATATATAGAGAGCGGATTATTAATTCATATCTATTTCCAGTGTCTCACGAACAATCGGAATTAGAACTGAAGTGGGCTGCGAATGAAAGTGCTGTCCAAAGTGCGACTTCGCTTCGTCGCCATAACGCTTACCTCGTGCAGAATAGTACAGGTTTATGTGATGAAAAACATACATGGCGTGGTAAGTGTAAAATTTGTCTGTCCAGAGTATTATTAATTCAACTGCATTTTGTTTCTTGCTGATTTCTGGTGTAAGAATACATCAATATTTAAGCAAATACTGTATACAGTAGACCAATATATATAAAATCGAAACGATGTTACTAAATTCCAAATGAAATCAATAATAATATAACAATATATGACGTCACTAAGTCAGATTTGTATTAAAATATGGCAAGATTTATGAACCTATGTTTTATTAACTTTTATAGAAACAGGTCCGACTTTTATAGAAAAATCATAATGGATAATTGAAATAATTTAGTTATTTCTTTTTTCAATAATCATTAATAGAAATGGAATGTAATTACTATTGATTATGTACTATATGTGGAAGGTAATGAAGAATTAAAAATGTATAGTCAGTATGAAGACTCTCGTTATTTAAAAAGTGAAATTGATGGATCACGACTAGCACTTTTGAGAAATCCTCTTGAAGAAAATGATTAACAAGAATATATTAATTTAATAACAACTTGTTAAATGTAATTTGAAATATATTGAGCCAATTTTCAAATTATTTGATTGTAAAATGTTTATAATTCTTACGGTTTTCTATCGCTAAAGATATCCTTAAAACACTTTACAGTTAATAAAACATAGCTTCTTGAATAATAATAAACTAGATTCTTGAGTAGCATTTGTGTGTTTTATTTTTTGCAGAAAATACGTAATTGCTTTAACATTATAGATTTCTGAACCTTATCAATATTTTATAAAGCAATAAATTGTTATTAATAACATATTGATTTAAGCAAATAAATTAATTAAATTTTACATTTAATTAATAATAATTATAAAAAAAATTATTTTTAATAATTTAATTCGGAATTATGTATTTCAGGTAATTTTAGTTGCCTCCGAGTTTTATTAGTTTTCACTCGCGATAAATCTTTCTACGTTAGCACTGTCTTCGTCCCTGGGATGGTGTTAGTTACGAGTTCCTTTATCAGTTTCTGGTTAGACATCAATGCAGTGCCTGCCCGTGTTATGATAGGTGTTACTACCATGTTGAACTTTTGTACTACCACAAACAGTTTTCGTTCTACGTTACCTGTTGTGTCCAATTTAACAGCGATGAATCTCTGGGATGGTGTATGCATGTTCTTTATCTACGCTTCTATGTTAGAATTTATTATTGTAAATTATCTTTATCGAAAATTACCCCACATCACACGTCCATCACCCTCTGCTCCAGCGGCGGAACCTCTCCGGCCTCAGTCTGCTTTATCACAGGTAAGTGTATAGAATCATTTCTTAATATTTTAATGAATTAAAGAAATAAACGCGTTTATGTCTGAATAGATAATGTTAGTATCTGTACCAGACGTCTACCAATTATAGCGATTGTTTGACATTATTTTTTTTCCTAGGGTAACGGCAGGAAGTCGGCGACAGACACTACCGGTCACGACGGAACAGCAGTGGCGCAAGAATTTCCGCCATTTGATAACCATTTAAATCACCGACTTCAAACGGACAAGGCTAGGGCAGCCGCATCCGTGTTTGCTTGGCTGAGGAGGCCCCAGTTGTTTGCCCCGCAAGAGCCACCCACGAGACCAAGAATTGCGAAGACTATTGACAATGTGTCCAAGATGGTTTTTCCAGCTTTGTTCGGTATCTTTACATTTGCCTTCTTCCTAACTTTTGCCCTGATTAAACCTTCCCAAGAGGAAAACTGGAAACTGAGTGGATTTGTCTCACCCATGTAAAGAAACAGCAAATACGAACACAACGGACCAGAAATGTGAAATTTAGTGGCCTTCAGGCGGGTGCCACGACACTATCACGTATATACGAGTATGAATGACGTTAGAAAAGTGCCCGCTCTACTTCTGAATCCATTGCCATCGACTGTATGTCAGCTTTAAGCCCATCATTACAGTAGATATATTCCTCCGCTCCGAAACATTCTTGTGGCTGAAAGTAGAATGTCTCAGGGACACAAGCGAGGCTTTTCGGTTTATTTTCGTTATTCTGCTTACATAAAAGAAGCTCGTCAGTTTTTCAGATGTGCATCAAATGACTTGTGATGTTTAAAACCGATGCCATCTGATAGATTGGTAGATACATCAATTATCGTCCATTGCTTATGCGCGACACGTTTAGAGGATAAAACGTTACAAAATTTTGCTTATAAAGCTCATCCCTAACAAGTAGACAATGCTAAAGCATTTAAAAAAACGATCCATTGCATAGTAACCAACTGAATCACATTAGATAGGTTCATGATATTTACCACCCATTGTTCATCACATACATTCACTAATACTAAAACGCTAAAAGGGAACAAGGACTATCGTGGCTCTGAAAGAAAATCTATTATTTGCAACGAGCCGTAGTCGATGCTTCGTTTCGCCATCATCTGTGCATTTCATTGCCTTCGAGGAAAATTCGTTTTTCCTGATATTAAAAAAAAAATGTACTCGTTTATAACTGCACAAAATAAATCTACAAAAAGTAGAATACGTGAAGAAGACAGTGTTTGATGAAATTTGTGTTGGATTGAACAGTTCACAATAATAGTATTAGTTTCAGTAGTTATCGATTCAAGAAAAGCACTAATAACGAAAAAAATTAAAATATATATATATAATAGATTCAGTATGTCGACACTAGCTGCATGACAGTAAGCGTGACACCTCTAGTGTCAATCCAACAGAATGATTAAATCACAATGCTCCGATTAAAAAAAGGCTCTTGTACTTCATCTTTTCCAAACTATTACTCTTCTCCAAAATTTTATTCTGTCTTAATTCTTTCGCTCTTGCTCTAAGGGAACGAACCATTCAAACTTTTTTGATACGAGTTAGTGAAATCACACATATATACATTACACGCTAATTAAGCGTTTCCACCATTGGGATTTACAACCTAAGAAAAAATTTACACATAAAAGGATACTAAATACACAGATGATACTTTTATATATGCAAACTTTGTAGATATTTGTTTTTATAGTCTTAAAAAAAATAAGAAAAAATTCACCAACTTTGCAAATTTAGCTTCTTGTATAATTTCTTTGTCTGTTTATCAATTTGACAGAATTTTTTCCTTTCATAACATCCTTAAAATATTATTAAAAAAACAAATTATTTCTTGAAAAACGTTCAATAACAAGATGCAATAAGCTAATTTTGCAGATTGCACCACATGTTGCCTGTTCTATTGTGATCTTTAAAAAAATGTGGGGATGTGCATGATGTACAGACACATTGCACTAATCATGTTTCATCATATTATAAAGATGATAATTATCTTATGTAAATATATATTTAAAAACACACACACACACATACATATATATATATATATTATAAAATATATTGATATCGAGTGGTTTTCAAAAAATGGTTCATGTTAAGTGTAAAGTTGAAAACTGTTGTTTGAGATTTATGAGGAATGATATAATGGCAAGCATTGCTAATTGAACAAAGATATATATATATTGTAAAAAAAAACTACAAATGATATGAGAGAATGACACAGACAACTGTACATATATTTTTATGCAGTGTAGTGCAAATTCTCATCAATTTTTCCTAATGCTTGAGTGCCTGTACTTTCTATTTCTTGGTTGTTAATCCTTCCATCTTTGTCTCACAACATCCAATTTGACTGGCCATTGCTAACTGCTGCTATCTGAACTCCTTCCTGAGTTACTGTGTACAGTGAGATTTTAAAGTAAAAATAAAAAATTTCTGCTTATTATTAAATCAGTTTAACCTTTTGAAAATTCTGATCATAATTAAAAATATATATAATTAAAAAAAATAAAATTTCCTAATTGTTATTTCATGCTGTTACCAAACAATATGTTATTGACAGAATGTTCTATGTAATAATGTTGATGTAATGGCTTATTTTAAATTTTTATATAGAAAATTTTCAAAATTTGTATTTATTTGTTTTGTACACTTCTCACTTTCTCCTGTTTTAAACTTTACATAACAATGCCACATCTAAGTTTTAAGTTATATAAAGTAAATTTAAAGTAATGGATAGATAATCATCACTTAGAAAATGTAAAGCCAGAGGAAGATACTTTGGTATATATAGAGCACATATATAGATTCTCTATCAATGTCATTTCCTTCCCTTAATGATATACTTAAATTCAAAAAACACAGATATCTTTAAAGTAAGATAAGACTTGATACTTTAAGACTTTTGTTCTTGACTTTTCAACTTTTCTTTTTGGAAAGAAAGAAAGAGATAAAGAATTTGATCAGAATTTCTTTTTGCTATTTTTCATCTTCCAATAATACAATTCTGTTTAAATTTAAAAGTCAATTTTCAGAATGTTTAAAGAATATTCTTTATATATTTTTTATCTTAAACAACAAAAACTATAAAATTAAAAATACAGATAATTATTTGCTGTAAAATTGTGTATTTCTTGGATAGAGGATAAAAATCTATGAATAATTTCTCAACTCTATAAATTTAAGTTATAAATACAATATATACAATACAAGTATATATAACGTACAAGTTTAAAAATTTATTTTATAACTTAACTAATTTAACTAAATGTTAACAAATTATGTGAATATTGAGCTATTTGTTTACTTTGTTTTATATTTATTATATGAAAACTAAAAAATAAAATTGCTGATGACAATCTTAGAAAAATATATATGGAATTTTGCTAATACATATTAAAAAAATACGATAAATAGATCTCTATTAGTAACAAAAAACAAAAGAAATGTTCAGGAAATAAATCATTCAAATCCAAAATGTTAAAAAAGATAAATATATATTATTTTATGTATTTGATAAATTATTGTTCAAAATTATTTACATAATCTAACAACAATATGTAAATACATTATGAATAATTCATTCTTCAGATAAATAAGCTAGAAAATTTTTAGTAACAATATTTTCTAAATTTTCAATGTAATAGAGTTACATTTCTTCTTACAAAACTTCTAACATAGTAATTTATTAAGATTTATTGTCTATGTTTCTCTGACTATTAGTAGATCTAGCATCTGAAATTCCTCTTTCATAAACCCAAACCGAATCGACTCCCGCTTCGGTGATAGTAATGGGTTTCCAAGACGGAAGGGGAAAACGGCACGCAATTACCCACGAACCATCAACAAGTTCCATGGCCAATTTTTCTTCCAGTTGTGCCATCTTGTATAAAAAATTAAAATGAGAATTACATGAATATAGATACAAATATTAAACATAGATTATACAAGTAAAGAGAATCGAAATCTAGGAAAATCAATTTTGTACACTATCGAGATCTTGTATTTATTGTAATTTCAGTTTGAATAGAAAAGTTAAATTGAAAAAACTTCCTTTTTGAATAAGTAACTGAAAAATTATTTTTATATAAATACATTTTTTAATATTTAAATATGCAAAGAAATAAAAAGCTTTACAACAGAATAAATTATGTACAAAATGAAATTTAGTTTTGCAAATCTAGAAAATAGACTTTTTTAAAGTAACATTTAACTGAATTAAAAAGAAAAATTTTTCATTTTTTTTTTTAAATTGCTAAGATTAAAACTTTTTTATTATTATATCAACAGCATAATTAATGAATACTTTATAAATTTGAGAAAATGGGGGAGTGTCTCGACTGTCGAAGGTGTTGGCGCGATAATCTTAAGAGAAGAGTTGATACAACATTGTGTGATAATGATTCGCTCTTGGAGGAAAATGCTACCTCAATTTAAGTGGAAGTACAACAAATGTCTTTCTCTGCTAGTAATATTATACCTATTGCTTATTTCCGGTATAGAACCTAACCCAGGACCTTTGCCTAGATCTCCTCAACGTGGCGGCCACACAGATATGCAAAAGAAGGGGCGTGGGAGGCCGCGCAGTGTCATTCCTAAAGCTACAGAAAAAATAAGAATATCTGGAACTAATTCCAGTCAAGAAATTCTGCTTGAAGAACAGGAGTATGATAGAGAGGAATTAAACGATGGGAGAACTCCAAAAATACAAGACTACTTTCATACCGTACAAGGAGCAGACACTCCAACAGCAGAAGAACAAAAATATTCGCTGAAATCCATATACGATTTGATTCAAGAAAAATTCAATCAATTAAACACCGAGTTACAAAATATCAAATCAGAAGTTAATTATCTGAAAGAAGAAAACAGAGTTTACCAATTGGAATCCAAAAGAGTAGCACAAGAATTGGAAGAAATGGATTCAATAATTAAGGATAATTCCCACACAAAAGGTGAGCTAGAATTTGAAATAGATCAATTATTAAATGAAAAAACGAACAAAAATATAGTAATTATTAATTTTCCGTTTGAAACTCCGGAATATCTAAAAGAAATCGAACAATTTATATCAAGAGAACTAGGGATAACAAATAGTTCAATAGATAGTATAATTAAACTAACTAATAATGAATACAAGCCTATGGTGAAAATAGCTCTATCCTCAACATATGACAGAAATTTAATACTTAAAGAATTCTGGTCTAAGAGAGCAAAAATCAATTTAGACGAACATAAAAAAATTATATTCAAAACAGATCTCTGTAGAAGATCGAGATTGAGGAGAAAAAATTTGATACCAATATTTCAACAAGAAAAAGCCAAAGGCATTAAAATAATAATGAGAGATGATTATTATATAAAGGGAGAGAATATCTATACATACGATCTCCACTTACAAAAAGCGATACGTGTAAGGGGTTTTTTAGGCCTAAATTAAAAGGTCAATCAAATAAATATATCAAAAAATCCTTCATTTCTATGAATAATCAAAGAATAGAAGATTCTATAAACCTAGTAATACTAGAAAATAATAACCAACAAGGACATAGAATAGAGCTGACAAACTTAGTAGTTGGATTACCATTAGAAGAAGGTGAATATACAAAAAGGTATAATTACAAAATTCGTTTTGGATTCTGGAATATACAAGGTATCCAAAGAAAGCTATACACAGATACATTTTATAAATACTTGATTTCCAATACAGTTATTGGTTTGTCTGAAACTTGGTTGACCCAGCTAAAAATAGAAGATAAAACTTATTTAGAACGAACCTTCTTAGTATTGGAAAGTAAAGGTCAAAGAAATAGTAAATTCGGTCGACCTTTTGGAGGACTCTTATTGTTAATTAATAAAAATCTAGGTAAATTGAGATTTTGGATTGCTGATAACAATTACGTCCTAGCTGAATTAGAACTCTGTCAACATCTAAGTTCACGCTGGAGAGAAACACGTATAGGAATTATACTTATATATCTCCCACCAAATTCCGATAAAAAGAGAACCTTAGTAGAAATTCAAAATAAGATAATACAAAGAACTAATATTACAGATTTGTGGATAATTGGGGGTGATGCTAATAGTCGAATAGGTGAAGCAATGGATACAAAAAACAAAAATAACAATGGAATTATTGACAATATCAGAATGTCTAAAGATAAAGTAAGTAACTTAGGAGGAAAATCATTACTAGAATTTGTACAAGATAATAATCTATATATTTTGAATGGACGACTCCCAAGCGACTGTCCTGCGGAATATACCTACCTGTCTAGCTTAGGCAAATCTGTGATTGACTATATAATTTGTTCGGAAACTGCCCTAAATATGATTAAAGAATTTAGAGTCTTGAATATCGATATGTCAGACCACTTCCCTGTACAACTAGAATTCAATGGAGCCCCATACGAAAACAGGGAAGAGCAAACTCAAAAAAATAATCGAATCTATAGAAGAGAGACGAAAAGAAGTTTTAATCTGAAAAAATTCAAAAATGAATTCAACAATCAATTGCTGATGATACAATATAAAGAAAGTAATATAACGGCTGTGCAGAAATATGATAAATTAGTAAATATAATAGACCAATTTCGATATAAAACCTCTTGGAACATTAATAGAACACATCCCAAACAAATTTGGTTTGATAAGAGTTGTTACTTACATAAGATTAAAAAACAACGTAGCTTACAATATTTTAGAAAAATAAACTCTGAGTCAACACTGAAAGAATATATAAGAAACAAAAAAATATATCAAAACCTAATTAAAGCCAAAAAGAGGAAATATTATTCTGAGATGAGTGATCAATTATTAAAAGCTAAAGATACAAAAAAATTTTGGAATATTATTAAACAAGTCAGAAATAAAACGCAAACTCCTGAGCCTAAATGCTATGTAACGTATGATAATTGGCAACAATACTTTGAGGAATTTTCCATTTCCTACAAAAATAAATGCAATGTGCAGAGTATACCACACTTAACTGTTACGACTGAACCACTAACAGAAATATTTAATGAAGAAAATTTACACAGGTGTATCAAAAAAATAAAAGAGAGAACCGCTCCAGGTGCCGATTCCATCACCAACGCGATAATCAAAAACTTTTCGATCGAAGGAATTCATCTATTGGCTAATCTATACAATAATTTCTATAATACGGGTACAATACCTAGAGATTGGAATAAAATCATCTTCCAAATGATATTTAAAAAAGGTGAAAGAAGCTGTCCAGCCAACTATCGACCTATTGCTCTTTTGTCTGGGTTTCGCAAACTGTTTACAGCAGTACTAACAGAAAAGTTTAATGAGTGGACAGAGAATAATAAACTACTTAATTATACACAGTTTGCCTTTACAAAAAATGGAGGCACCCAAGTTGCATTATTTTCATTGACGACACTAATCCAATTACAATTATATAAAAAAAGACAAAAAGTCTTTGCTTTGTTTTTGGATATTGAAAAAGCATATGACTCAGTGGTTATTCCAGTATTACTAGAGAAGCTAAGCAAAAACGGAGTAGATACACGTATGATTAGAATAATCGATCAATTGTTCGGACACTATGAAGTAATCATTAAACAATTTGATAAGAAATGGCCAGAATTACAAGTGCATAGAGGTCTCCTTCAAGGTGACCCTTGGTCTCCACATCTTTTTAACTATTTCCTAGCAGACATAAATGAATGTTTTGAGAAAGAAGATGATGGATTTTATATAGACGGCCAAGTAATCCACTCTATAGCATATGCGGATGATATCGTACTAGTCGCACCCACAGCAGCAGGTCTTCGAAGAAAAATTAGAAATATACAAAAATATTTCCATATATTAAAATTAAGCATCAATCCAAGAAAATCCTCAGTCATGATATTTCGTAATGGATCCAAACTTGCAAAAAAAAGCACATCATTCTCGATGAACAAAGTACAATTAGAGATAGTACAAGAGATAAAATTTTTGGGAATTATACTGACCCCCACAATAACTTTTGAAAAGCAATATAAAAAAGTCGTTCACAAATCAAATTGTCTGATTAATAATATGGTGAAACTTTGTACACATATTAAGCTTAAAAATATATTTAGTCATTTTAGACTATTTACCTCTATAATTTTTAATGCGATATCCTACGCCTCACCAATTTGGAGTCTAACAAATTATAAGAAACTTGAATCCATTCAAAATAAGTTTATTCGAAAAATTTTTACATTGGAATACAATATTGCTGGTTACGCTCTTAGAATCGAACTCAGCAGATTTAGATTGGCTCCTTTTTTTGTCAAAAGATTTGTTAATTTTCTATATAAGATCAGAGACAATAACAACCTTCCAACAAAACTATTATATTTGCTGTATAAAAAAATGTGTCAAAAACCCCAAAAAAATACCTGGATTAGTCAAATGAAGAATATAATCAATGAATACGGAGTTTCTATAGCTCCATTACTAGAAAATTCAGAAATTAGCGACTTTATAAGGAAACAACTAATACATAATGCACTGGAAATCTCATTAGCTCAAGATATCGAAGAAATACATAAGAGAAGAGAGCCTAAATGGTATAAAATATTGCTAAATTACCCCTTCAATAACAACTATATGTTATCTAATATGTCGTTTACAGTCAAGAAGTTTTTCATTCAACTGAGATTAAATAGCAATATGGTTTTAATTAATAATAGAATCTATGAAATTTCCAAAAGTAGCTGCCCAAGATGTCAAGAATTATTCACTAAGTATCACGTTTTCTGTGGATGTAAAACAGGCTACGAACTAAGAATTAAAATGGATTTAAACCAATTAAATTTCATCACAGAAGAAAATCAAATGTATCGTTTCTTCCAAGGTGCAAATACTGCTATGATTTATAAATTATACAATTATACAAAAACCTTTTGTAATCAATCCTAAAAGGGTGAATGAAATTGAATTGATCTGAATATTGTTTATAATAATATTAACTGATAAAAACTGAATATGTTATAATCATGACTATGATCAAAGTTCATTCTATGTTATAACTCCCTGTAATAACAGGCCTTTGCCTAATATGACTAATAAATATATTATTATTATTATTATTATTATTAAATTTGAGAAAATATGTCAAAATATATCAGGATAATAAAACCAATGCATTTTTTACGATTACAGCTGATTCGTTTAAGTAAAATTTTTTATTTCTTACAAAAATTTAATACTTCTTAAAGACATTTTTTTGCAAATTATAAAATTATAATCTTTATTAAAATTAATTATTCATTTAAGAATTATTAATCTTAATTTGATTTATTTCAAAATTTGTATTAAAATTTTTGAATTTTTAAAACACAGTGTTTTAAAGTTACTAGAAGGAGATATTTATTATAATAATTACAGTTATCCAAATGACAGTTATTGATTATTATAAGATAAATTTGATAATTTTATATTTCATTTGATTCATCAAATACAAAAGTAAAACTTAAATGATGACTCACCATAGAATCAACGCCAAATATTACTATGTTGTTGTAAGGACTTAGATTAACCTGAAAAACAATAAAATATCATATATTAATATAATTATAGAAATATGTAAAGTATTTTTCCTTTCCTTCCATAAACTAATACAGCAGTTTTATCTATATTAGTTTAAAGAACATTAAAAATCAATTGAAAGGCTTAGTGGAAGAAGGAGTTAACTGACATTTTCATGAAATTTGAATTAGCAGTGTGGAAGAAGGGATAAATGCTTATCTATCCCATGGCAAACAAATCAAGAGATTACCTTCAGCCAATCTGAAATTTGATGGTGAAAGAAGGCAATATTTGATGCAGATGTAACATATAAAAAACTTTGAATTTACATTTCACATCATCATTTTGCTAGCTTCCTCCTTTTTAAGTCTTTCAATTAATATACAGGGTGTTTCTTTCAAACCTCCATAGTTTTAAAGTGTTCTGTAAAACCCATTTATTCAGGTATGTGAATAAAATGTGTCAGAAAATGTTGATCAGTGCTCAAAGTTTCATGTTCTACATGTGTATGCTTGAAAGGACTGTCATTGCCACAGTCTATATCATTGGATTGGTTGACAAGGCCCCATTTATTGGCCTGCCTGATCATCCGACATCATCCCTTTAAAGTTTTTTCTTTATGGGTATGTCAAGGATTCTATGTATGCTACAAAAATGCCAGATACAAGAGCCCTGCTTACAAGAGCCATGGATGCCATTAACAGTGTGACTCCTAACATGCTGGTTTAGACATGGGCCAAAATCAAATACAAACTGGAAATCATAAGTGCCACAAGAGGAGCACATGTGAAAATGTAGTGATTTAATGCAGTAAATAGCTTTTCAGGTGGTATTTTCATTAACATTGTCTACAGTTCTGTACAGTTCAATTTCTTTTCCAAAAATTAATCCACAAAACCAGTGAGTTTCAAAGTAAACATCCTGTATATTCATATCAAATCAATTTTTGTACATAATTCCAGGAATTATGTAATTATTTTTATATAAATTTAATTATGCAATGTAACAACCTGGAACTGACATTAAATCAACTAATCAAAAATTGCTAAATTTCTGATAGGATAAAAATCAATTTTTTAATCAATAAATAGTTTGTAATAAACCTGGCAACATTTGATTATTTAATATTAAATAATCAAATGATGCCAGGTTTATTACAAAAGATAGGAAATATTAATTACAATAGTTGTAACTCTATACAAGTCAACCCCCTATAACACTGTTGATTATTCCATTTTATATGAATTTCATGTTGTATGAGCCACTTAGATTTTACAAATACATGTGCTGGGCTGTGAATGGCTCACATATTTGTAAAATCTAAGTGACTCGTACAACATCTAAGTTTCAACATGAAATTCATATAAAACAGAATAATCAACAGTGTTATAGGGGGGTCGCCTGTACTGAAGTGATGAATTTCAATGTATTCTTGAATATAAACTTTTTTGGGTCTTTAATCACTTATTAAATTTTGATAATTTCATTATCACTTTTTTGTAAATTGTACATAATCTCTGAAGTACTATAAATGTAATGTATTTTTCTATTTACATTTCTCATACAAGAAATATAGATAGAATGAATTTAAATTGTTATATGTTCTATTGATACTTTTTATTTGTCATGATATGAGAATTAAGTTTTAATAAATCATATTCAGTTATTTTTTGTATCTTCTGAATTAGATCTTATAAATTTTTCTATCAAAACTGTAATTTTTTCCAAATGTATAATAATAAAACTTATAATACCACAATAATTGAAATGGTATTTATTCATTATTCAGCATTGTCACTTAAATGGTAAAATTATATAATAGATAATAATAATGTTTAATCTCATATCTTTTGACAGGTTACATGAATGAATACCTCAATCTTTTACATTCAGAATTAAAAATTCATAGCATGGAAGTGGGAGATGCAGTGGTCTTGTGCAAATGTAACTAGCTCTTAAAATACATATGCACAAGGCCACTATATTTGCCTTTCCACACCAGAATTAGANTTTTGGGTCTTTAATCACTTATTAAATTTTGATAATTTCATTATCACTTTTTTGTAAATTGTACATAATCTCTGAAGTACTATAAATGTAATGTATTTTTCTATTTACATTTCTCATACAAGAAATATAGATAGAATGAATTTAAATTGTTATATGTTCTATTGATACTTTTTATTTGTCATGATATGAGAATTAAGTTTTAATAAATCATATTCAGTTATTTTTTGTATCTTCTGAATTAAGTCTTATAAATTTTTCTATCATAACTGTAATTTTTTCCAAATGTATAATAATAAAACTTATAATACCACAATAATTGAAATGGTATTTATTCATTATTCAGCATTGCCACTTAAATGGTAAAATTATATAATAGATAATAATAATGTTTAATCTCATATCTTTTGACAGGTTACATGAATGAATACCTCAATCTTTTACATTCAGAATTAAAAATTCATAGCATGGAAGTGGGAGATGCGGTGGTCTTGTGCAAATGTAACTAGCTCTTAAAATACATATGCACAAGGCCACTATATTTGCCTTTCCACACCAGAATTAGAAATGTTTTACGTATTTAAACAAACTAAAAATAATAAAAAAAGTAGATCAAATATATTATTTATAACTACAGTAGAATACCAATTATCTGAAATCATTTGTGAAAAAAGTAATCAAGAATTTGAATAATTTGATTAAGATAAATATCCATGAAAAACATTATTATAATATACTATAAAAATAATAATTAATATTACATTTTGTGATCATCTTCTCTGGGTTTCCCTTTTTTTCAATAAATTAATAAATTATTTCCTCTTTGCATTTACTTGCCTCATAAATATTATTCTTGAAAATCAAACAGAACACAATGCTAAACACTGACATATGATAATAATAACAATTGAGAACAGACTAAAACAAATAGGAATAATGATTGTGCAGACTGAATCAACAACTAGAGATGGTGTAAGTCAAATACTGGACTCTGCCCACAAGTGGCCAAGCAGATAAAAACACTGAACACTGGTAGTTGGTTGCAGGTTTGTCCTGACAAGGGACTGGTCACATGGAGTTTTTTGGGTTTTCTTCACATGTTTAACATCTAAATAGGGCCAGTTTTTCATAGAAAGTTCTCTTGGAAAGTACCCCATTGACAGATTGCCTGTGTGTTGTATTGCCTTCTCCCACCAATACTAACAAACACTGAACATTTGCATTTGTTACATCAATTCAGATAATTAGCATTATATTGAATATAGACAATGAGCAAAAATTATTGTGACATTGTCACAATAATTTTTGCTCATTCAATGCTGGACTGCAATTTTAATTAATTTAATTTAATATATATGCTCTTGATCAAAATCAGTAGTGTCTCCTGTACATCATACTTTTCCTGATAATAACAGAGTTATGCCAGTCATCTATGTAACTCCATTCTGGGGAAAATGTTTGAATAAAATCATGTGACTTCTGGTCTAGACTGGAAGTTTGTATATAGTTAATAGGGGCCTCCTGCCCTAAACTTTCCATATTTGGTTTCGACTTTCTTCTATCTAAAACTGCTCTCCAGATTAAGGAAGGACAGACAAACAAGCAGATGGACAACAGCCAGAATTTATAGGTCTACAATTTTTCCAAATTGCAGCCCAATACTTTCAAATAATATTTATTTGAAATTCAATTCACATTGAATTTCAAATAAATATTAGCAAAAATATCTATATAGAGATGTATTATTGAAATTATTATTTAATATATACAATTAGAAATGTATTAAAACTAATTTAATAAGCTTACAATGTTTCTTAATTGATTTTATAATTTTATTTTGTAAAACCAAAATAAAATCATAACTATGTAAGAAAATAAAATTTTTCAGATATTATTTTACTATTCTATATTCATGAATAGAGTATTTTGTAGTATTTTTTAAAATTTTATAATAGAAACAATTATATCTAATGTCTTGTGGTTACAGTAGTGGTAACTATAATATTTAGATATAAAAGATTAAACATTGATTAAGATTAACAGTTTTAATTATAAGAAATTTCTGAATATAGCAATTGTATACATAAAGTAATTTATTATAGTTTATAATTCAAACAATTTAAATTCATACTTAAAGTAATTTTATCTAAATTCTAATAACCAGTGGAAATTTATTCCTAGAATTGAAAATAAATTACATAATTTTAATGAAAGTCATGATAAAATTATCAATGTATAATAATTATTCAACATAAAATATTTTAATAAAAGAATTTCTCTATTTTGTACTAAAATTAAATGTTATCCATTATCTAGTTTTACACATATCCATTACTTTGTAAAAATAATATAATGGATATAATGGATGGCTTCAATACAAAAATGTGAGCTTTAACTGCTGCATTTATTTCAAATTTTACTTTAAAATATAATTTATCATAAACAAGTGGTCTTTAAGTTAATGATTCTTAATTATAATGCAGTCCAAGATTATANCTTCCTTGTCCTAGCTTTTCTGCCAACCAGGTGTCATTGTCATTGCTTTCAGACTTTAGTCCTTAAGACTGTCCCTGTGTTTAATTGGAGGTTTTCTTTGTTCATTAACTGTATATTCAAAACTTTCTGCCTTTAGACTTTGTCTGTTCCATAATTTAAAGAAACATTTCTATTGATAAAATACAGAATGTGTAGTTTATCATTATAATAAATGCATAAATAAAAAAGTGGAAAAAAGTGAAGTATTTGTCATTGTTAAAACATAAGTACAAAAGTACAGCTTTCATTTTTAGGACAGTAGGTGTCAGTATGAGACCAGCCTACACTGATAACAATAACTGATTGGTAACATTATACGGTGAGAGTAATTAGACCATAATTAGCGTAAATTTTATTGAATCAGAAAATTTTAAAACATTAATTATTCAATTTTTTAACATTTTTAGTTGTTTTAGATTTATAATTACTTAAGTGCTTCATCTAGTGTTATTTGCTGGAAATTTTTGGC